ATAAACAACTTCACCAATAACCAAATAAACCTTCACTAATATAATATCCACTAGGCCACACAAATTACTGACCTCCTATATAACATTAACTTTTAATGATCAAAGACTAAACCTAGATTCTTTATCATCAAACTAATGCTAAAATTTAAAATAAACACTTTTGGTTTTCAGTCCTTTCTGCTTCTTCTAACTATCCAAGTTCTTCGTTTGGATCCACAAAGGAAAGACTCTGTTCAAAACAACAACAGCAACTCAAAATACCGTATTTTGTTCTTTGTGCTGCGTGCCCAACCACTTAAGGAAAAAAGCTAAGTCTTGGAAAAACAAATCTAAATCTTTTCGGAAATCTGCAGTGTCTTCCAAGGACTGCAGATTCTATTCTTTAAGAAAAGAAACTTAATACTGTATTTTAAAGACAGTGCCTATGTTCTTCAGCAACATGAATGCATAACTCACTATTCTTCAATATGCTAGAATAAGAGAAATGATTGAATTCAGTATCACAGTTGGAAGGGACCTCGAAAGCTCATCCAGTCCAACCCTCCTGACAGAGCAGGATCACCTAGACCAGGTCACACAGGAAGGCGTCCAGGTTGGCCTTGAATGTCTCCAGAGAAGGAGACTCCACAACCTCTCTGAGCAGCCTGGTCCAATGCTCTGTCACCCTCACAGTAAAAAAGTTTTTCCTCATGTTCGCATGGAACCTCCTATGCTCCAGCTTGCACCCACTGCCCCTTGTCCTGTCATTGGACATCAGAGAGAAGAGCCTGGCTCCTTCCTCCTGACACTCGCCCTTTAAATATTTATAAACATGAATGAGGTCACCCCTCAGTCTCCTCTTCTCCAAGCTAAAGAGACCCAGCTCCCTCAGCCGCTCCTCGTAAGGGAGATGCTCCACTCCCTCAATCATCTTTGCGGCTCTGTGCTGGACTCTTTCAAGCAATTCCCTGTCCTTCTTGAACTGAGGGGCCCAGAAGTGAACACAATATTCAGATGCAGTCTCACCAGGGCAGAGTAGAGGGGGAGGAGAACCTCTCTGACCTACTCACCACACCCCTCCTGATACACCCCAGGATGCCATTGGGCCACAAAAGGGCACATTGCTGGCTCATGGTCATCCTGCTGTCCACTAGGACCACCAGGTCCCTTTCCACTGTGCTGCTCCCCAATAGGCCAGTCCCCAACCCCTATACAGGGGGTGGTTTTTCCCCAGATGCAAGACTCTACACTTGCCCTTGTTGAATTTCATTAAATCCTTCCCCACCCAACTCTCCAGCATGTCCACTCCTTGCTGAATGCCAGCACAGCCTTCTGGCGTGTCAGCCACTCCTCCTAGTTTTGTGTCATCAGCAAACTTGCTGACAGTGCACTCTGTTCCCTCAGTCCAGGTCACTGATGAATATATTGAATAGTACTGGTCCCAGTACTGACCCCTGTAGGACCCCACTAGATACAGGCCTCCAACTAGACTCTGTCCCACTGATCACAACTCTGTCTTCTTTCCTTCAACCAGTTCACAATCCGTCTCACTACCCGTTTGTCCAGTCCACACTTCCTCAGTTTAGCTGCTAGGATGCTGTGGGAGACTGTGTCAGATGCTTTACTAAAATCAGAACAGACCACATCCACTGCCCTACCATCATCTATCCGCCTGGTTATGTCCCCATGGTGAAACCATGCTGACTGCCCCTAATGACCCTCTTTATCCTTGATATGTCTGGAAACACTACAGAGGATAAGCTGCTCCATCACCTTTCCAGGGATGGAGGTGAGGCTGACCAGTCTGTAGTATAATCAAAGATGCTGAGAGAACTACACAAAAATCTCTAATGTCAGAAAGAGTCACTTTGTTAAAGGTGCAGAGACATTCACTGCAAAACATAATGTATGCAAGAACTAACAGGTTTACACCAAAAAGGAAGAAACCGTAAAAATTATCATTCTAATCTTTCTAAGGACTTCCTGCCATATTCGTAAACCAATGCCGGTACTTCATTAAATTTAAGTAATTATCGTAAGAATTATCTCCTTGATGTCAAGTAATCCGAAATGCAAAAAATGTCCTTTTCCACAACATCTGTCACATTAACATCATTGAATAAATGCAAATGTAAGCTGGAAACAGAGAAAGATAATATGGTATACAGGACTGAGTTTAAGCCTGAGCACGATGAAGTTCAGATTTCAATTCTGCATCTGTCAGAGAAAATCCTCACTTAAGATTCTCAGGTGCTGCTTCCAAACATCCCTTCCCTGGCTATGCTGCTCCAAGTTTGCCAGAGTAACAACTTTAGTGTTCTTGTGAGCCAAGTCCACCGCATTGCCAAAGCTGCAGCAGGAAAGTCTGCACGCGGAAAGATTTTTAGTGGCGACAGAACTGATGGTACAAAGTTAAACCCAATCAGGTTCCTCCTCACAGCCCAGTCCTATCTGCTGCGAAAGCAAAAGACTACAACTTCCCATCCATACGTCTAGGGTACCACATGAGACAAGATGACTTCACTTTCCAGAGAGGACAAAGAGAATTTGGGTCCGGGGCACCTCTGGGTGAACACATCACAGCCCAGAGCAGCCTCTGCTCTCAAGCAAAGTTCCCGTTTCAAACCCCACCAGCGGTGGGGGTCTGCTACCCGAGGCGCAGCAGTAAACTGAGCTTTTACTTTTAAGGAAGAGAAAGGAAAACGCTTAAAAGAGACCAATGTTAAAATAATATTTACATTACGGAGTAAAGTCACTGAAAGTTGAGAAATGTAAACTCTGGAAGTGTTTGAGTAGCTGCCGTTTAAGCAAACTAATTTCTGCCTTTTTTTGGAAGAATGGTTTCAGACAACAGAGGCGATTACACGATCACACGGTATTCCTTCCGCAAGACCTTTTGCTCATTATTTCCATTTCTTCACTAATGACAAGAATACAACCCAAATAGTCAATTTATCTAGGGTTAAAATAATGTATATCTTTAGACACACCATTTTTAAAGGTAAGCTTTAAATTTTCAGATGTTTCTATTTCTGAAATGACCAAGTAACACAGAAAACGTCAAGCTGTTACAAACTTCCCAATGAGAAGAAAAACTGAATTAGATGTAAATCTGTGGTACTGGGAGTTAAATACATTTGGATAGTAGTATGAAACGGTTACCAAGAGACAGAGAATTTCTATAAATTATTATATTTTAATGTATTTGTTTTCTGATAACACTGAAACTTCTTACGTGGGAGTTTTTGGTCTCTTTACATACTAGTTTCCACAAATAAGAAATTGCTGTGGATGCCTGATTGCTTCCTTTGCATTGCACCTATTTTGTTTACAAAGGGGCTTTTAATAATCCACTATTGCTCTCAAATAGCCCTGTGCAAAGCATAAAATGGACACATTTTTGAAAACGGGTGAGTGAGTATTCAATAACTTAAGCAAGATCACAATAGTGGCAGGTTTTGAATAGTACGGTCGTGCCTTATCTTTCTGTTTAATTCATCAAGTCCCTAAATACACTACTGAAAAGGTGTCAGTGCACCTGGGTAGGGGTAATTATTAAATAACACTGTCAATTCTTACCTTATGTAAACATACTGCAAATACAAAAACAATTTCTGCTTTCGAAATGTTAAATAATAGATCCTCTGATTTTGAAAAGACAAAACCAGAACTACACTTGCAGCATTCTATGGGAGATAGACCACATTTTGCAACTTGTGCCTTTACACTAATATTTGAAATCCAATTACAGAAGGCAATGTCCTGATTTGACAAGGGAAAATAGAGATTCAAAATTAGTATTTTTATTTAAAAAAAAAGTTTCAAACTCCCCTTCAACAATTTGGCCCTGCCCCACTCCTAGATAAACACCAATCATTTTTGCAGTGAAGTAACTTCCTGATGGTACCACAGCAGCATCTGCTTCCCACACCAAAAATCTATAGATACAGAAACAAAATGAAGCTTTGGATACGTACATAGGTCATAATTACAAACTACAGCATTAGTACTGAATCCATCTCTCGCTAAGAGTGGGAACATCCTTCAAAGATTATTTTAATTAAATGGCTGCTTTGCAATTTTCATTATTAACAACTTCGGATATTGCAGTAGGGTACATTAGAAGAGAATTTGCCTACAAAGTGGCAGTTTAATCTAAATCAGTTGACTGGTAACTCTAAAGAGCAGCACTCTGTTTCAGCAACATCCTCTTAAACCACACCCACCTACACTAAAAGGATGTCCAACTGTATGTTAAATCTCACTGCAAATCAGCAGAATTTTAGCCTCCAAAATAATTCAGGCAGTTATATGGGACTTTTACATCTTAAATACCTTAGGTTTAGATAGCTGAGTAGCAATCAATACACTTTTTCCTGAAACTGAATTTGTATTCGAAACTTTGTTCCACAATTATTAGCTTTATAAAAATGATTTCAAAAGCTTAAAAGGAAATAGCCTCAGTACTAAACATGACCATCAAAGAAAACTGAATGTAATGACTGTTCATAATGGTTTCTCTCTTTTTTCCTTAACCCTTCATTTTTCATTTAGCTCAACAAGTGTGTATTAGTCTTTGTAAGTTCACAACATCAAAATATCAAGCACTACAACTGAAGAAATATGTGTGTGTGTATATATATATATTCCAAATGATGAAAAGGTCACTGCAGAAAGCTCTGGGTTAAAATTCACCATAAGCAGAGTAGTTCTATTGGTGTCAATCAACTTAACTTTAAGCCAGGGGATAGAGAGAAGCAGGCATATGCACACTTTGTTTAACTGGCAGTCAGAGTATCTCAGATTCTCTGTACTACTCAGGTATGTAACTTACTAAAAAGAACCAGAAATTTGGGTCAAATGTGGAAATCATGTTGAGATGCAACATCTGAAAGTTATTTTCCCTCAACTCTAGAAAAATAATAATCTTTTTCCCCATCTACACTTAGATGTGTAAGAAAAAAATTATTACTGAATAATTTCAGTACTGCTATAGCTTTGTATTATACAACAGCTTTTACCTTCCCAAGCATTCTTCCAAGAAAGTAGTAATGTCGGGCGTAAGAGTCTCCAACAAGCATCTGTGCAGCAGGATTGGGGTAAAGAAGTCCTTCATTGGTGGTCTTAAAAAAGCCCTGGTTAGGGTTAAATCCTGATTTAAGTAGTTCATTCAGAAATTCTCTGAAAATTCCACCACCGTCGATTCCAGCTTCATCAAGACCATGCGCATTAAGCAAGTGAACACGAATGCGCTTTTTTAGGTCAGGTTCTGCAGAGAAAGGAGAGGGAAATTCAAATACAACTATCTGCTTGAATTCTGTTTGGACAAAAGCACGTGTAACTACACATACAAATGTATCTATACTATCTTTATATAAAAATTGAACTAGTAAATAGTACTGTAGCAAAAAGTCTACTACTGGCTTGAATTTTGGAATAGTCAGTATTTGAAACTCACTTTGTACAGAGTCTTGCTTTAAGAGTCATCAAAACATGGAGTGGAAAGACATTAGGTAGGTGAAGAAAAAAAATCATATGAAACATTTTAAAGATGCCTAAGAATAATTTGAAAGTTCTATTTATGTCAAATATTGTGAATGTAAGGTTCCATTTTCTCCTGTCTGAAGGAACTATCAACAAGCTTTGCAATCCCTTAGAAGGGCTTACTGTTAAGCTACACCACTAAATAATATTATTTGAAATTTATCTTAATATTTTTGATACTCTGGACTCATTGCTATGGCATGATATTCCGGTGAGGAATAACTCCACAAGGAGTGGTACAGCAGGACATGTTCTGAAGGTAGATGCTCTCCTTGTTTCATACAATGCTGCTACTTGACAAAGCAAGCAATATTTAGTCCTTGAACTACATATACATTACAGGGGATGAGGGTGGTTTTGCTCACTTCACTGAAGGCTTCCACAGATCTAACCAAATATTCAGCTTTTAATTGAACCCTTGCATTGACTACACTTGCATTCTAGCAAAGCAACCAGCAATAAACCAGTAACAATAAAACCTTCTACTGCTCCTATGAGATACAAATGCACACATTATGGAGGGACAGCTGATGTTCATGAAACAATCGTCAGCAACTTGTAGCAACAGAATTTCCCTTGAACCACCGAGTGCTTTATTCATACTTTCCATCAGTGAAAGCCTCTGCATCTACTAGCAACTTCAGGCTTTTCACAAGTTTCACACTCAGCTATTTTTGAAAATTACCTCTTAGGTCTTCATTCAAGTTAAGCACTCTTCTACATAGAAATTCTTCTAGCTAGAAATACAGGATGGCCATTTTTAGCCACAGGCGCTGCAATAGGCCCACCTAGGTCTTTCTATCACCATTCAAAACATAAAAAGAAAACACATGCACTGGCAAGAGAGTCTCAAGCACTCGGCACGCTCTGCCGGCAGACTCCTGAGCTATTAAGCATTAATGTTAAAGCTTTGAAATATGGAAAATATGTTGGTTTAACACTTTCTGGAGCTTTATAAAGAAAATCAGTTACTTGTTTCTTCCTCTGTGTACTGACAACCAGATTTGTAGCAAAGAGGGAAAAATGGCCCTACAACAAATTTGCATGTCAAAAAACACGTGACCAGGTAGAGGTGGACTCCAAATTAGTGCAACCTCTGAAAAAAGAGAGCTCAACGTTATGACTCATACGGCAGAATGTTGCTGAACTGTTACTGGAATCCACTGGAGGTTATTACGGAATACACTGAAAATTTCAGTTACAGAGGAGAAAAAAACCTGAGAAATGCTTGTACATTATTAAGCATACAATAACCAAATAAAAATTTAAATCCACAAGAACCAACCTAGCACATTTCTTCTATTCCAAGCTTGTCTTCTTAATGATCTCAGTTAATATACTATGGAAACATTAACTTTGAACAGCACTCTTCTCGGGACCAGTAGACAAAATGGATGCCTCTTCCAAATCAATGTTCCTCACTCTCTCCTGATCAATTCTAGGACCTCATCTATCATCTGTTCCATCTCCCAGATCAATATTTCCTTTATCCTTATCTGACAGCCTGTACCTAGCAAATCCTGTGCAGTCTAGATATTTTTGCTGACACGGATTACCAAAGCAGATATCTAATGAACTACACAGATAAATATACTAAGTACAGTTATTTGGACAAGTAAATGAGAAGAAAAGCCCCCTGAAAGTAGGTTGGGACTAAGGAAGGGTATGTTAAAGAAAATGAGACTGCAATAATCAGAAACAAGGTGGATGAGAATTACTTTACATAACAGTGAGGAAATTTAACTTAAGGACTTTCACATCTAAGACCTGATACACTTTTAACACCCTACTCCAGTAAGCAAATATGGCAAGAATGGTTAAATGTTACAAACAAGCTGATGGAAACGTAATCGTAAGCCTACCATTTTCAGGAGAAAGTTTATCATAAGCATCTTCATAAATATAATTTCTTCTGATAGTGACATTAATTCCATCCAAGAATGGCCCATCTCCTTGAACTTCTTGTTTATCGGCATAGATCAGTCTTTGAAAAATCTGTTAAAATGCGTGAAAAGAGAAACCATGTCATTGTGCAGATCTAAATATTCAATGAGAGACGGTTGTTCACTACTTTACTGTCCTTTGAGTTGCTTCTGGGCGCTCACTTTCAAGTGATTTTTCCCCTCTCACATACAGCTGCAGAAACGTAACAGAGCCATATGCCAGGGGAGGGAAAGAGAGGGGACAGACATGCAATAAGACACTTTTCATGCTCAGATATCATCTTCAATTCTTTCTACATAAAGAGGCACATCTACAGACACTGTGTCAGTGACTCCAGCTTCCTCTCCCTAACTTTCAGAGCTCTGAAATGCAAAGTATTCAAAAACAAAGGGAAAAAGTCACACAAGTATTCTGCACACACAGAGGTAATTCCTTAATACTAGTAAACAATTTCTGTAATGCTGAGGAACATTCCTAGTAACAAGAAATGAGGTATTGGTATTCATCTCAGGAGCAGTGAGCAAGTAACTGAAATCCAAATAGGGGATAGCACTGCCAGATAAACAAAGAACCGGAGCACCATACCAATAAAAAAAATAATGCCAGCTGAGGTACAAATTGAACTTCACATTGTCCCTTTGCAAGTCTTCACAACAGAAAACTGTTACAGTTCACCTGAATGGTAACTGTAGCTGTGCTTCTATGCCAAGATGCAGCATGGGAGGGAGCTGCCTAATGTATTGGGTTGGTGGTATTCTTTTTTAATAGACAAACAAATGTCTTGAAATGTAACTAACTTCATTTTAAATTGCAAATTCTTTGTCACTTGCCAACTGACAGTCCAAGCTTGTTTTAGAAAAAGAAAGTGCATAATTCATTAACAAACGTTTATGTGGCATGGATTTCAAAATGCAAAATCAAAAGGAGCATTTTTGACGTATTTTGTTTGTATTACTTCTGAAAAGGAAAAAACGCTGTGCAAACTCATAACAGGTTATGTGATGTGTATGGTGAAGATGTCTTAAAACTACGTCAGTGTCAGAACTGGTTTGCTAAATTCAAGTACAAAGATTTTGATGTTTAAGATGCACCATGCTCAGGAAGGTACAGCGAAATTGGTAACAATGAAATAAAGGCACTGATCTAATCCAATTGGCGTTTAATGAGAAATTGCTGATAATCTCTACATGTCAAAATGGAGCGTTGAAAACCACTTAAAACAACTTGGATAGGAAGCTCAATATTTGGGTACCACACAAGCTCAAAAAAATTCATCTCACTAAGCGCACTGACATCTGCGATTCTCTCTTGAAACGTCCCTGCTTACCTAAATCTTTCTGTGGTTCTATGGCACGAAGAGACACAGCCACAGACACCTTCTTTCTAGGTACAGGGCATAAGAATATGCTCACCACCATTCTCTTTCCTGAAGCACAGCTGGATACTGGTTATTAACTATTGCTACACAACACTAGATGGAAAGAATCGCTTGGAGGTAAGATCTCAGCAAAATTCTTCTTCAGAGTCTGGACTCCTACATAATCCAACGTTCACGTACATGTTAGTCCTGAAAATAAGAACCCTAAAGCATAACTGAAGCATTTACAATGACTTCAGACTAACGCATGTAAAAGTAAGCAATGGTGACTGAGGTACACACCGTAGGAAATAACACCATAGGAAAGCTGTCAAAAGCATAGCTTAAGTAAGCAAGAACCAAGGCACTTCATACAAATTGAATTCATTACCTCCCACAGCTACACATCAGACTGAAAGGTGCACCTCAATGTGCCTGTAAAAGTATTCAATATCTGGTAATCCAAGGTAAAAATCTCATCAAGTCAGAAAATGAAAGGGCACATGGAACAACCCACACATGGAAACAGCACTGAGCTGTATTACCACATTAAATTATAACAGAATAGATGGCAACTGGAAGAAGACAAAAACAAACAAACAAAAAACCACAATAAGATATCTTCTTCCCTGATTGCAAATTGTTTTGCAGCAGAAGTGAGAGACTCCAAAAAGATGTACACTGCCACTATTCACACAAAAAGAGCCATATTTGGTCCAAAAAGCAGCATAAAACAATCTCCTCTTCGAACCATAAAAGTTCAGTCTACAGCTTTATCCTTTTCTCCAAGCTATCATCCAATTGTTATGATTTCAGTTTTTGTGGTAAAACCAAACAAGGTTTTAGGAATTCCAGAAACTTAAAATACGTGCATCTCCATATAGCTTTAAGTCGTCCAGAGGTTGTAGGCAGTCACTAAACCATGACATGCAGACCCTGCTTGAGGTCATTTCCATTTGTTTCCCTATAACCCTAGTGCAATATCGCCATACAGAATTAAGATACTTTGTTAGAGTAACTTTCACAGAAGCCTGGAAAAAAACCACTCCTTTTCTACCAAAGCTGTCACTGTCATTTTTTGACAAATACTGATTTGCTTTCCCTACTTCATTCCCTCGATGGAGTCTTGCAACTCAGTGTTTCCAAGACAGTTCAGGGAGCACTTCTTAAGCAACTGATACTGTTGACAATAAAGCAGATCAGAAAAAAAAATAGGTAACAGAGTAATAGGTTTTAAAAATATATGATGCAAACTGAAATAGGTAATAGAACTAACAATTACATAATAAAATCTAGAAAACATTCAAAAGCAAATCAAATGGTACAAGAATCTTGCAAGTTTTAAACTACGTACTCTATTAAAGTTCAGCTACTCAGCTATGAATGCAGAGATCTAATCTCTAGGCGTTATTTTGCCAAAATGGACATCCATCATCTCACTCTGAGTAAATCCACTCACTGCACAAAAGTCTCCAGTCTTGACCTCGCAATCTGTTTATTACAGATACACAACTAGTTAGTGCTCTGCTTACCACAAGAGGGTGCAATCACGTAGATAAATCATTAAATCAGGACTGCAGTTTATTATAAACATACAACTGCTCTCATGTATCTTGGAATACTTGTTTTTAATTGTAATGTAATTGTTATACAGGGTAATATAACTGGTGAAAAAATGAGAAAAGCAATTAACTACAAATGTTACGTTGGCACGTAAGTACTGAAGAAAAAACAGTATGGCCTGTCATCTTTCTGCAGAGAAATGCTCCAGTTTCTACCTAGCTAAGCACTCTTTTTTACTTATTTAAACAAACAAAAAAAAAACCTAAAAAATCCACTGCATATTACATTAGAAATCAGGTACCTTCACTCTTTCTTCAAAAGGAACTACAAAAGGTAGCTCTGTCAGAATTGCAAGTTGTCGTTCTTCAGATACGGAAAGAGGAGCTGGTTCCAAACCCACTTAAAACAGAAATCGTAATTTTAGAAATTTTGGAAAGAACATTTTTTAAACAGTTGATTTTGTAACAAGTAATTCAATTTACTTTATAGGAAAATACATACATTAAAATAGTTTATTTACTAAACAGTCACACCAAGCCTTACCTTTTTTTAAAACATTAGTTTCTGCAGGCAAACTGAAATACAAGTAGTAAAAACACACTGAAAACAAAATGTGTATAAAAATAAGTATTCCTGCATTTTTGTTTTATTCAGAATAGTTATTTTCTTATTACTGATATTTCAATTTTGCAATTAAGAAAAAATGCATGACAGAGGACAATTAAAAAGCTGAAAGTAATTAGAATTTTCATCGCAGGAATACACAATATTCCTGTACCAATGATCAGAATAGTTTAAAGGTATTGTGCTTTCAAATACAGTCTCTACTTTCAATCAAATCATTTGAAGCATAAAATTTAAGAATTAAACCAAATCTAATTAAACCAACAGAAATGTAGTATTTATTTCAATGGGTTTTCTCTCCCAATAGCAAGGTCACAGTGATCACATTAAATTCCAGTAACTGCAGAAACAGTGAAAAGACCATCAAGAAATAGTAAACTGTGATTAAGAAAAAAAAAAGATTAGAAAATAATTCTGGAAGCCACAGCAATAGAGACAATCGCAAGCAGTTCCCAAGCTACCATGCAGCTCCTCTGAACCCACAGAAGATGTTTTAGGAAACAACTCAACTTCAGGTGATGCACAGTACAAGTGACTTCTTGTGGCCAAGAAGGCCAATGGCATCCTGGGGTGTATCAGGAGGGGGGTGGTGAGTAGGTCGAGAGAGGTTCTCCTCCCCCTCTACTCTGCCCTGGTGAGACCGCATCTGGACTATTGTGTCCAGTTCTGGGCCACTCAGTTCAAGAAGGACAGGGAACTGCTGGAGAGAGTCCAGCGTAGGGCTACAAAGATGATTAAGGGAGTGGAGCATCTCCCTTATGAGGAGCGACTGAGGGAGCTGGGTCTCTTTAGTTTGCAGAAGAGGAGACTGAGGGGAGACCTCATTCATGTTTATAAATATTTAAAGGGTGAGTGTCACGAGGATGGAGCCAGGCTCTTCTCGGTGACAAACAATGATAAGACAAGGGGTAACGGACACAAGCTGGAACACAGGAGGTTCCACTTAAATTTGAGAAGAAACTTCTTCTCAGTGAGGGTGACAGAGCACTGGACCAGGCTGCCCAGAGAGGTTGTGGAGTCTCCTTCTCTGGAGACATTCAAAACCCGCCTGGACGCCTTCCTGTGCAACCTCATCTAGGTGTTCCTGTTCCGGCAGGGGGATTGGACTGGATGATCTTTTGAGGTCCCTTCCAATCCCTAACGTTCTGTGATTCTGTGACAATCCTGCTCTAACTTCATGGGAAGAAAACTCAGTTTTTTCTGACTGTAAATTAATTAACTGCAGCAAAAAAATAAATGGCATTGCTCACTGACTAGACACTGTGGTTAAAGGTCCACCTAGCTTCGGTTCACAGGGAAAACAAAACCCACAACTCTTTAGCTGTTTCATGGTAATAACCACCTTCTCAAAAAAAGACTCTAAAGTCTGGACTATTTATAGACCATATTACAAAACTGAAGTAAATGCTTCGTGTTACTACCCAATCTGGAAGTCTGTGATGAGAGCTTCAAGTTCTCCCTTTGGCTCCTACCTGTGGTGATGAGCATTTTGCTGCCCTTCTGCAACTGGACATCACTTCAATGTTCATTTTGTGTTTTTTTTTACTCCTCAAGCACTTCAAGTAGGGATATTTTAAGCATCAATTTAACATGACGTGACCCAAAACATCACTATACTTGATGTATATCCATTTGGGGCAGGTTTCAACATTGCAAGCCTTTGGAATTTCTGATAAAATGCTTATCTGTGATTACCCTTAGTTTACTTAGTAAACATTTTTAATTAAAGTCAATGTATGTAGCCTATTAAGCTAAGGGTTAAAAGCATTTTAAATAAAAAGTGCATGTACAGCAAAGGTAAACTACTACATGACTTCAACAGTTCAATTATTCCAGTCAATTAGTCAATTTTATCTGCATTTCTCCATCACAGCTTCTTTCTTTAAAGAGAAATATGGGATGGAGTCATCAATACAGAGGACATTTAGAACTCACGAGTCTGCCATTTAAGTAAATGAAAAAGCACAAATAAACATGACCATATGTGATTCAGCAGTACTCTCACACTAATTGGCTTTAACCCATATGGAGTCAAGAGGGACTAAACAAGTCATGTGCACATTGTTACCTGCTTGTTTTCACACATTCATGTTGACTGCACTTTTTTATTAGCCTGATTTCATAGGAAAGTGAGGTTTACATGAACACAGTCATCCTTCCTCACCATCTTGCCTCCAACACATCTTTTAAGCTCTCCAGCTAAATTTTAACTCTGACAGAGAATAGGAGATTCAAAATACTACAGTTTGTGCAATTTTTCAACTGGATAGAGAAGAGAAATTCCTTTAGTGACCCAATTACAAAAACAGCAAGGACAGCTCAGTTATCTGCTCTGTCTGATGTGCCAGCCAGCTGACAAAATGAGGGCATGGAGCTGCTCCACACACACACACATTCCTTATCCACCAACTGCCCAGACCAAGGCAGCTAACGAAACAGAGGGAACTGGTGCTATTGTAGGAAGGAAGACAAGGGAGAGAGCTGAAGAAACTGTACGTATGGAGGGAAGGAGACGAGCAGAACAGCGGCATGTGGGAGAATCTGGAAGTAATAAGTTTGGGACAGGTTCAACAGTGGAGATCATCAAGACAGTATTGCTGTCAAGAGCCACGTAGGTCAATGGAAGAAACAGGGATTACTGATTTAGTCTGTAAGGTTACAGCACACAGGCCTCTTGAAGCCTGGCAATCTTTGTTAAAACACCTGCTTTTAAGATTTCGTATTATCAATCACTTAGAATAGGCAACTTCCAAAGAGAGAAATTAAACTAAAAAAATATTTTATTCAAAATTCTAAGGAGTACTTACACTGGACCACCTAGTTGTTAATGGGCAACTAGTCTAATGAGGTAAACAAAGTAAACTTATACCATCATAGCTATTCAAATAAAAAAATATCATTATAAGAAGTCCTTAGATTTCAACCTTGGACAACACCGTTAATGCTGTACCACTCTGTGGCAGCACTCAAAGGCTATGGGCTTCTCTACATGATCTACTGTATCTGGCTAAGATACTCAACAGATTACATCATCTTGAGAGAGAGTATGGACTCTCACATAGATTAATCATTTTGCTGCTTAAAGGCTTCATTTTTAATTTATTACTAAATCTTCACAAGTATTAGTGATTTAAAAATAATGCTTATTTTACCTGAGCATAGCAACGTAAAACTCTAGAATAGTGAAGATATGAAGGTATGAAAAGCTTAAAGAAACAGACTGTCTACATGAGAAAGTGTATTGGCACAACTAAACTAGTGGAAATTTATCTCGATTACTAAGTTGGTCCAATTTTCTCACCTTTCTTTGGGAGTTCAGCAAAGTCCAGCTATTTTGAGTAATTCAAGGGGTTAAGTTTCTGCCTTATCTAATTATAGACTATATCTATAAAAAGTAATTAATACTTATGATGGCACCTAAAGCTTGTTTGTTACAGTTTAATAAATGATAAAGAAGTTTCTTTATAAAATACAGTAAAAGCATAATCTCAATGCGTTTCATCTTCTGCAACTTTATTAATTTTGTGTCTTATGCAACTGCCTAGTGGATGAGGGGAAGACTGTGGATGTTGTCTACCTGGACTCTGGTAAAGCCTTTGACATAGTCTCCCACAGCATCCTCCTAGAGAAGCTGGTGGCTCATGGCTTAGACACGTTTACTCTCCACTGAGTAAAAAACTGGCTGGACAGCTAAGCTCAGACAGTTGTGAACAGATTTAAATCCAATCAGATTTGGTGGTTGGTCACAAACAGTGTTCCCCAGGGCTCAGTACTGGGGCCAGTCTTGTTTAGTATCTTCATTAATGACCTGGAAAAGCAGACCGAGTGCTCCCTCAGTAAGTTCGCAGATGACACCAAATTGGGCAGAAGTGTTGGTCTGCCTGAGGGTAGAAAGGCTCTAGAGAAGGACTTAGATAGGCTGGATCAATGGGTCAAGGTCAGTTGTATGCTGTTTAACAAGACCAAGTGCCGGGTTCTGCACTTGGATCACAACAGCCCCATGCAGCGCTACAGGCTTGGGGAGGAGTGGCTGGAAAGCTGCCAGGGAGAAAAAGATCTGAGGGTATTGGTTTACAGTGACTGAACATGAGCCAGCAGTGTGCCCAGGTGGCCAAGAAGGCCAACAGCATCCTGGTCTGTATCAGAAATGGTGTGGCCAGCAGGAGTGAGGAAGCGATCATGCATCTGTACTCAGCATAGGTGAGGGTGCAACTCCTATCCCGTGTTCAGTTTTGGGCCCCTCACTACAAGAAGGACATTGAGGCACTGACGCTTGTCCAGATAAGGGGAGCGAAGTTGGGGTCTGGAGAACAAGAATTATGAGGAGTGACTGAGGGAACTGGAGGTGTTTAGTCTGGAGAAGAAGACACTGAGTGGAGACCTTTTCACTCTCTACAACTACCTGAAAGGAGGCTCTAGTGAAGGTGATGTTGGTCTCTTCTCCCACGTAACCAGCAGTACGAAAAGAGGAAATGGCCTCAAGTGGTACCAGGGGAGGGTTAGATTGGATATTAGGAAAAATTTCTTTAAAGAATGGTCAAGCATTGGAATAGGCTGCCGAGGGAAATGGTGGAGTCACCATCCCTGGAGTCATACAAAAAACATGTAGATGCGGTACTTTGGGACATGGTTTAGTGGGCATGGGGATGTTGGGTTGACGGTTGGACTTGATGATCTTAGAGGTCTCTTCCAACATGAATGATTCTATGCCTTTTTGCATATATTAATACATATCTTTCTAATGCATATCATATTTCTGTCTCATCATTTCCCCTCAATGATCCCAGCAGAAGCTTGGGGAAAGCTGTTATACATTAAGCATTCTAAAGACATACACACACGTGTATATAATCATACATATTTTATAAAATATCTGAAACAAAATTAGGAAAGACTGCCTTGCTTTTGGGTATTATTAAGACTTTCATACAAAATGCTCAACTAAAGTCTGAGGTAATGAGGTAGATTTTCTCTGCAGAAGGCAAACTCTTATTTTGACTTAGTAAAGCAAAAGTTGCATAGACAGTATCTTACCATCCAAAGTAGATTGCAGTGGTCCTATTCTTCCCATTCTTCTGACTCTCCAGACATGCCTAGCAGATGGCACATACAGCTGTGTAACCTAGTAAATTAACAGTATTTTGTAGTTAAACATTGTAGCAATAGAATGAGGGGGGAATGGTTTTAAGCTGGAAAAGGGTAGATTTAGACTAGACATTAGGAAGAAATTCTTTACTATGAGGGTGATGAGACAGTGTCACAGGTTGCCCAGGGAAGTTGTAGATGCCCCTTCCCTGGCAGTGTTGGATGGGGCTTTGGGCAACCTGGTCTGGTGGGAGGTGTCCCTGCCCATGGCAGGGGTTGGACTGGATGAGCTTTAAGTTCCCTTCCAACACAAACCATTCTATGATTACCTAATTACATATTACAATATACTATTACATAGTAAATACATGAAACTGCCATATCCAAGAGCATGCCTGAACGCCTAAGTAAGTTCATTTCCAATCCCTCCTCCTTACACTTGTGCCTAAAAGCCAAGCTGCACAATTAACAACATTTAATAAAAAGTCCACGTATCATTTAAAAATACCATGCAATGCTACATTCAATGCTGGTATTTAAGATACCTGAGAAACTGAGTTTGAATTATGAGATGTCAAATAAATTTTACTTTATATAATAAATCAGGCTAGCATCACAGTCTTGGACTACTACTCCTTTCTCTAAGGTGTGTAAGGCACCATTTCATAAGGACTGTAAAGAACTGTCACACAGATAAACAGAAACCTTGAACATAAGGCAAATGTGCAACCACCAACAATAAACAGAAGTGTTCACCACTAAGTATTCCATCCAAAACTTCCAACTGGTAAGACATTTAATATTGCAAGGTAGTCTATCTGACATGTAACTAGCTTCCAAGTTTTCAATGATTCAAAGGATATACGGGCACATTCTTATTAGCATTTTCTTTTACACACAGATACATACACTCAATGTCATTTTTTTCAAAAGATCTTAGAAAGAAAAAAGTAATTTCCAGGTAAGATAAGTACAGAAAGTGCTCCTGGACTTTCTTTAATTTTGGAAGATAAATTTGAGGTCCCCCCCCACTACAGAGCAATTCTTTCATTTAGTAGTTTCATTATGAGAAGTACTTAAAATAAGTAGAAAATAAAATGCAAGGAAATACTACCAGATTTTCAGTTCTCCTCTGCAATAAATGCAGGTGACTTACACTGTCGCACTGTAGAGTGGGTTCTACTTTATGGAGTGGAAATGCGATTTCTTAACAGGTGCAAGACTTTATATTAGAGAAAAGCAGCATTACCCCAGGTTTTAAAGCACACTAAAACTGTGCAATGTCAACATCATTGGTACTGTCAGAAATCAAACACTTTATCATTGAAACTTTGGTATCTGTAAGGCTATGTGGAAAAAGGGTATTACCTTATCTGCTTTTATGTTTTCTTGTTCTGAGAGCCAGTGATTTGGTGGGCAGAAATTTCTCCTTGTATCTCTAGATTTCAACATTTTCACTAAGTTTGTGATGACCTAAGTGTCAGAAACACATACATTCAATATACATTTAGCACTGTGAATGAAATTGTGTAATCCACAAGCAAAAACCTAAGAAAATCTTTCAGTAACATATGAAATTGTTATTTTTGACTTACAAAAACTTGCTCTTACACTTAAGTACCTAAGAAAGTAAGTAATTGTGGTTCACTTGTAAGTCCTCAAAAAAATCGGCTTATTAAAGTCTCATTCCAAAACCTAAGAACTAGGACTAAGTACGCCTAGGACCTCACACATCCTAAAAGTTGTATGCCAGCTCAAGGAAGCCTGAACAAATCATTCTTTAAATAAGTAATTTAATGCAGGTAAAGTGACACCTAACCAGGTCATTTATATAATGGTCTTTCATACAGATTTTTTTTTCCTCTTTTTTGCTTACACAGGTTTTCAGAAATTAAATGTGTGAATAGATGTACATTTTAGAAGAGAGTTATACAACTATTCTTCACTGCCTTTCATTCCAAAACTGAGATTCTGAACAATTTCACTGATTTGTAGGTTTTATTTGTCCACAAGAAGGAAGATTCTGAAGTTTCTGTGCATCCTTTTTCAAGGAAAATGCTACATAAAACAGAAATTTTGCTTGCCGTTTCAAGACGAAGGTCACTGTATCACTCCACACGAGGCAAATCTGAGAGATCAATTAATAAACAGTGGATATTTCTGCCTGTCATCAATAAACTTAACTAACTACCCAAGATAAGATCACATTATGTGCCTTTCAATGGCCAATCTGTAAAAAAGCCAGTATCTACTACAGAAAGTAGAGAAGGAGAGGGCATAAGCATTAAGCTGGCAGCAAAAGTTATATCTCTAAAGTACATGAAAGATTGACTACTTCTGGTTGCTGCATTACCAAACTAAACTAAAGCATTTCCAACTAAAGGAACTTCAGAGAAATCCTAAGTACCTGCTGATGGTATCATCCGACCAAACACTGAGGTGATTAACCATATGAAAAAACTAATGCAGATATTTTTAAGGGTAAAGGTCTATATCTGAAAAAAACACTACAGGCTCCTTTTCTTGTCCGTGAATATTTTGCTAGCATTTTCAAAGCTGGCAAGAGAGAAAGAGATCACCTCATCCAGAAGTAGCTACCAATTTCCCAAATGAACTGTACCCTCCAAGTTCTTGTCTCTATTAAAATAGACGACCCAGTCAGTGAACACTACTGAAAGGCTGTGAAAGGATCCAACATACCAGATACAGAAGGTAAAATCACTCCTGAGAAGGGTGTAGCCCAAACAAGCCTGAAAGCAGACTACAAGATGATAATTTCCAGAAAAAGGATGGTTACCAAATATTCTTCTGGTGATCACTACAGGAAGCATAAAAAGCCCGTACAGTCCTAAAAATGTATGTGTGGGGTGGCTGGTTGTAATTTTCATTTAATATGCACATATATACTGCATTATTGTAATGTTATTTACAAACTAAAATGCCCTAGGTAAAAGCCCTTTAGTGTGTTAAGTTAATGAGCCCTTTTCCAACAGAAAATATAATTATTTACCTGAAAACCACCTACTAACTAATAGTGGTTTAACACATTTTTGCTTATCAACTGAACCATAGCGGGTGATGATGCGTACATTCATAATTCATCCAACCAAAAAGCACATTAGCTTAAACCACTATGTTTAATTCATTTTTATTTACAAGGAATTCAAATTATGAAAGGTAAGTCTGTCATTATTATAACCACACAGTCAGAAAATGAGAAAACTGAATAGATAACTAGTCCATGTTCATAACAAAATTGGGAGGCTAAGAAAAATGGTTATCATGGTCACTAGGGTGTCTTTGCAATTTTAATATTTTTCTTAGCAGTTTCTCCAAACCAGGGGAAAAAAAAAAAGGAGATTTATCAAGCTAACAACTACTTCATCTCAAGCACAATTTTCACACTTGTTCACATGCCTTCTCTCCAAAGCAGAACCAACTCAGCCCAACACTACATAAAACATAATTAAGTGGAATCAACAGAATATTAAATTACTAGCCTAAAAGACATTATCACTGCTACAGTAAACACTCACCTGTTTTGCAACTTAAAACTATAGCCCTTGAAAAATTAGTAGAAAAGAATATACACAAAGCTTTTCTGAAGTAATCTTGCCAAGAGAGTCTTAATGGGCAGGTGTCAGAGTAACAAAGAGTTTAATGGGCCTTCTAAAGGATTCTGTGACTAGATAATACACAAAAGACCTTTGAAGATCCAGTTTGTAAAGGAAGGTCTTGAATAAAGACAGAACAAAGAAGAATACTATTAAAGGAACTGTCTGATTACACAGGAATTTTCATCACCTTGCCCTTATAAAATTCAGTGCAGGTTAGATGAGTCACTGGAGCTCGGTGGTGCCATTACTACCACACTTAAGAGAAAGGCGGGGGGTGGGGGGAAGAAAAAAAAATATAGAAAAAAAAAACTATCTATGTGAAGACCACGCTAATGAAATATTTCACAGCAGGTAAAGAACCCTTAAAGGAAGCTGAATCACATTACGTGAGATCGGAGTTCTTCCTGTATACCAGATGGGTACTGAGAACACTTGCAACCTAAACCCAGGACTCCTTTGTAAATCTTTTTTAAAGGATGTATTTTACTGAAAGGAGAGAACCACTTCAATAAACAGTAGTTAAATAGGGATTTTTTTTTCCAATAAAGCACCAAGTGTAAGTAACATTCAAAACTAAAATTCAGCAAAATTAGTCACTTACATTTCAAAGGATTAATTCAAAATATTGAAATAATTCTTCTATTTGACAAAACCCATTTTCATGTACTCATAGCTTAAGCCCTTCTGTGGAACCTGTAGCAGTTGAATACACTATCCAATATTATATCAAGCCAAAAAAGGGGATTCTGCCGAATAAAGACATTTTCACATGTAAATGTTGCCATTTCAAAGACCTCCAATCTGCTAGCAAATAAACACATCATTATCAGCAGTCTCACCGTTTTCAAATTTACCATTACCTTGCAGAAGGAATACCTGTATTTGCATGTGCATACACAGAGGAATGTATTTCATTAGACATCAGTGGCATGGAAAACATGCAAAATAAGTGTGAGACATTAAAAAAAAAATTGAAAGCATAGATAATAGGGAAGGATTGTGACTTTCTCTGAAGGCAGATTGCGAAAGCTTTAGAAAAAGATAAATCTCTCATATTTGACAGTGTAAAAGAGTATTTTCTACTTCAACTTATATTTATGAACTACTTTAGATTTGTTTTAATGATCTGGAAGAAGCTATTGCTGCCTGCTCACTGGCAAGAAGCTATTTTGAAGCTGCCCTCAGGTAACAAGCTGCCCTCAATGCAGCAGAGTCGTCCTCTTGACCAGGTGAACTTTAGCTGTGTTGAATTTTTATCTGCAACAGTATGTTTCTGAAGGAGTAAACAAGGGAAGCTTTGTTACCAGCTACTTTATTGGGTAGAACCAGAGCTTCTGAGATACTCTCAAGATTTACATTTGTAATTCAGCTAATGGAAGGCAACTCTGGCTCCTGAAAATAGTAACAGTACACCAAGTTTAGACAGTTTCACTACAAGTTTAATTCCTGACTGCCAAAGTGGGACAGAGTAACTCAAGATTTTACAGCTTTCCAAATGACAGCAAAATATGACTGAATTCACCTGAAAAGCAAGAAGCTTATAAAAAAGACTGATTAAATACGACAAGCTAAAGAGAAGAAATAGAAGATGACATGATATAATCTGCACACTAAAATACCCCTACCATGCCATCCTTCTTAGAAAAATAGACAGACATATTGGGGTTTTCACTTGTGACCTTTAAATCGGAAGTTTATTTGGCAATTTAAAGACACGTAATTAAATTAAATTGTGCAAACATATAGATCAAGCCGTGCAAATTACAAATTCAGTGGTGCATTAGGACTGTATTCAATGCAATCAAAACATTATCAGTTACTCTCACCGCTATTAATGCTTATGCTCATAAGTGAAATGTGTTGTAAAATCAGGCAGAATAGGCTGGATAGAGGCTATCTTAGACTTGTAGAATGAATAAGCATTCCTTAATTAGCCCATCAGGTTAAGTGCAAGCCTTAATGGGCCTTTCCTAAAGTCTAGCATGACATCTTTCTCCAAACATGGCCAAGAAGAAAGTTCCATTAGCAATATTAATACAAGCTTAGTTGATCATTTTCATTCAATTAACTTCTTTCAATTAAATAGATAGCTTGACAAAAGCAGTGATAAAAGACCTGAAGGGACAGCTGATGACTCGAACTGAACATTAGTGTGCGAGAGGTCGCCAGTATTAAACAGACTGTAAATCTAGCATTCAATTTGGAAAATGCATTTCTTCTGCTCCCACTTCTTTAATGAGCAATTTTAGCTGACTAGATGTGTTTGCTGCAGAATTTTCACGACAAGTCAAGCACTCCGTTTTTTCGGCAACAGTTATATTAGGTTTTTTCCTGCCAACATTTTCAGCTTCTCTTAACTCATGTCTTAGGTTGGATGCCATGGCTAAAACTAGCAGAAATACACTGGTAGAGACCCAGAAAGAACATACATTAAGTTCACATTTGCTAAACTGGATTTACCATCACGATAATATTCCAGCAAACCTGAAAGGAGCAGTACCAACTATTTTAGTAAAATACCAACAAAACCAGTGCAGTATGATACTGATTCAGTGAAGTCTCTAACACAGAAGTACTTGAGAAACCACATGATTCAGTTAGAATTTCACACCTACATAAAGTTATAATGATGTGCTTCAGTACCTTGCTGAATGGGAGTTCAAGTTAAAACCTGTATTTTATACAGTAACTGTTTTATAAGCAGGATAAGCAGGAAAATTAAGAGTTGCCAGAAAAAAAAAAAAGTTACAGTTCTCAGAATGTAATCACTCGAAGTTTAGCATATACACCAAAAAAACAACCTTCCCAAATCTATATTCCTTGAAACAACAGTGTTAAAAGTATAACTAGAGGAAAAGAAACAAAATCTAATCTCGTATCTCGTATCTCATCTAGGCGTTCCTGCTCCGGCAGGGGGATTGGACTAGATGATCTTTTGAGGTCCCTTCCAATCCCTAACGTTCTGTGATTCTGTGATTCTGTGATTCTGTGATCTTCAGCAAGGGACTGATAATTTTATTTAAATATATTCTGAAAATTGACACAATTTACCTTGAATAATTGAATCCACCTTTTTTGTTCTGTCTGTATACACTGCTGCATTTCTGTGTTTTTTGTTACTCCAACACTTCTAAATGCTGCAATATATTCCTCACGAACCTCTGGTTTTGTTTCTGGGTAAGCCAATTTTATGATTCCTAAACATGCATCTCGAAGGCAGCGTGATAATATTACAAGCTCTTCTAGTGTAAAAGGCATCATTGATGATTGTCTTTGACCTACAACTATGTAAAACACAAGTTTAAGTTTCATTAAACAACTTTTTCTTAATCACTGTTATTTAAAAAACCCACTTATTTCATTGGAACTTTAATATTCACCGAAAAAAAAAAAACTAACGGCAGAGAAAAGAAACATCACCCAAAAAGAGAATGAGTACACATTTATAAAGGCAATCAGATTTTGTAATTGTTTGCAGTCACAAGTATTTTAATTACAATATTCTCTCATTCTCTTTTGTGATTCCTGCTATGTTAAATTTTTACATTAGACTACAGGTTCAGTCCAGAACTTCACTCTCTTCACCAACTCATTAAAAATTACCATGATTAAGAACTTCCACATCAGACTCTATAAAGCTAGAGGTCCCAGGGTGCAGACCATCATTTTTTTTCGTCTTTTTTCTAAATGCAATCACCATGAAGGAGCCAGTGACAGCTGACAGCCAGTGCTCAGGGGACTGTCAGCAAGGCAGCCCAGAAGGCAGACCCACAGATGTCAGCAAATCACTGCCTAGGGAACTCTGTAGCCTTACACAAAAACATTTTGCAAGGCACTGCTATCTAATATGCTTGAAACTCACCTTCGATTGGATCACCAAAAAATTCATTATCATGAATAGAAATAAGTGAATGACTAAACAAAGAACTAAAAAGGTAGAAGAGCGGGATAATTCGACTAGAGTCTTCTAAAGACATTGGAGAGCCTCTCGAAATCACTTGAAGGAGTGGCACCATAGACCTTAAAATATAAAATGCAAAAATAAGAGATGTTTAATTAAATACTCTAAAAAAGTACTAACTTCAGCATTCTAGTAGAAACATTTAGTACTCCCTACAGCAAAATAAGGGTGGTCCTCTCACTTAAAGAACTACTATTTCCCATTTTTACAAAACAAGACTACTCTCAAGTTCTTGTCATTACAGCACCTCAGTGTCTTGACAATATATAAACTTTGGCATTAACTATAACAGACCACAGACACTTTCTGGTTTAGAAGCAAAAAGTAGCTAATCTGTGTGTCAGAACAGAAGAAATCTGTAGGTCCAATGCCTCCATTCCTGGGAACATGCTTGTGTCACCATCAATTTCTGGACTAGTCAAAGCATATGAGATAAAACTCACATACTTGGGATGAAGTACCTGGAGATTCAGTGTTCATTATACTGATGCTAGTAAGCACTCCAAAAACTACAAAATATCCACCTTATATTTAAATGAAGATTTTACTTATTTACCTGCAATTATTTACAACTGTCCAATTCCCAAGATTTTGCTCAAAAACCATAGGAGCCAAGTAACCTTTACAGTTTTGATTTCAAACGACTTCCAGGAGCACTGTCCCAATTTTCCTTTCACAAGATATTTTCTATCTTAACAAAGACTCAGTTTCAGAAATGGTGCAACACATACCCTGTAATCATTCGTGTAGTCATTGAAGATATCAAATACCAAAGGTGTCTCAGGAATCTGGCATTGAAGGCTAAACTATAAAGAAGCCTGCAAAAGGAAGGTCAAATAAATTTTGTGAATACAGTGTTTTGGAAGACACAACACAATGCCTCTATACAACAACTTTTCTGTCAAGCACTTCTTAAACATTACCAACTCAAATTTCTGTCTTCAAGATGAAGGTTCTTATTCTAATCAAATCTGGTGAAAGCCCCAAAGCTGACAAACAAGCATATAAATCCTTATACCTAAAATACACAGTTTTCATTAACTCGGCAGCAAACCACATCGTATAAGATAGACGCAAGTTTGCAGTATTCTACAGAATTAAACACACATTAAACAACAATAACACACATTCAGAGTTATTTATCTGGGAATTTTTTACAGTTCTGATACAGAAAAATCACACCAGTACTGAACAGGTCACTTCTGCGGTTCTTCTGACATTAAGAAACAATAATTTTTGTGAAAAGTAGATTAAAATACTTTAAAGTTAATTTATGCTAGAAGCAACTACTGATTTGCAATTCTGTAGCAATTTTACTGGTATATTCTGCATGGCAGACATAAATATAACATCAACAGAACGATGTCTGTCAGGACAGCTACCCATGCACCTACACAGAACCATCTGTAAACAGAAAATGGTTTCTATACCTGTAAAAGTAAATGTGCATGCTCACAAGTCAGTTAAATACAGGACCAACTTTTACCATATTATTTCAGACATGACTACGGTATTATGAACTTTTTCTAGAAATGAGAAATAAAAAGCTTCCTGGAATTAAAAGGTCTCCCCCAGCCTCTTTTTTTCTCTGCAGAAAGCAACATATGTGACAACTATCATTTGAAACAATGAATGTCTTCTAGGAAAGCAAACAGGATGTGACTGACTAAACTGACTTTTTTCCGATTTTGAAGAACTATATTCAGCCAGTTATCCTAAATGCTACTTGCTTAGATCTCCTATTTATTAGAATAAATAAGGTAAAAGAGATACTCAGGTCCACATCTCCTCTCAGAGATGAACAGCCTCAGAACATCAAAATTTCCTGTGACCATGCATACAGGAGTTAGGAAGCTGGGAAACAGGAGCAGGGAGAGCAGACTAGAAGTGCTGCTGCCTGAAAAAACAGTATTTATTACAGACCACATGGATACATTAAAATTTGCCAGACGGCAAAAGGAAAGGAAAAACTCATTTTATTAAGGAAAACAAAACAACAAAAAAGGTCAAAATACCAGAAAATACTTAAAAACATTTGAAAATTGTTTAAGCACCAATTCATTTAAAGACATTTAAACCAAAGAAAAACCCCACAAGAGAACCTACACGCTCACTCCCAGATAAATCCTGCATGGTGCCATATGCCTCCGGGTCCTTGCCTAGTGGCTCCTGAAGCCCTGCAGGTTCCTTTTGCTATGGATGCTCCCATGCACCCACCCAGCCGGTCCCTTCTGCAGGCTCTCATCTCACCCGCGTTCACCAAGGCAGTTGCACAGACAAGGAACTCTGTGAGGATGAAGTAGCACCAGGAAGGGCAGAACTCTTCACCAAACAGAAAGGATTGAGTTTCATGGAGAGTTATGGAAATAGAATGGGGGCATGCAGAAAAAGCGAAAATTAAATACAAGCCACCTCTGGTTTGTGGTGCATCTCTGCTGAAGCATCACCCCTCTTGTTTCAAAAACTCTGCATTTTAAAAATGTAGATCAGTACCTTTAAAAACAGTTAGGAGCTCCACATATTCCAGAGAAATTGTATGTTGGTGTTGATCGCTAAGTCTGAGTCAAGTTTTAAGTACTTGCAGCTAAGGCCAGTTTAAGGTAAGTTTTACTGTAAAATGAATTTCTACTTTAAATATGGGGAATTTTGAAAAAAATCAACCCAAATTTGATACATAGGAATTTTACTTCCTTCTCCAGTCATATTATTTTGACATTTGGGAGGAAACTATCATGTAACAAAGGGCTTATTATTTCTAGCTAATTTAGAATAAGGGTTTGTATTTTAATGTTTAAATATCTGAACGATAGTTCAGATGTCTTAGTTTCTGAAATAAGAAATTTCCTCAGTGACCTTCAGTTTTCAGCCACATATTTGAAATGAAAAGTAATTTGGCACAGCGCCGTTAGGTCTCATAGGGCTTCCAAGTAAAAACTTGTTAATTTTACAATCACCCCTGGAAATTATGTTATAGCTTTAGCAGAAACGAACAAACATTATGGACACTGAACCTATCATAATGTAATTCACTTCTTCATTCTAGCAATATTCAGCAATAATGAAGGGAAAAAAAAGGACAAACCTTAAGAGCTTATAGTAAAAACCTTTGTCTAAGTTTTAGCCATTTTTCTTCCATATCCGTGATTCAGGCAGTCAATTGTAGCAACTGCTATATTTCATGGCCTAATTCCAGAAATGCTGAATGTATTCAACTTTCACATTCCCCTTCCCTGAAAATCTGGTTAAATACAAAAATGCAAATTTGGTAGAAGATGTCCTCACACAGCCTATTTTGTCAATATGAAATACGAAGCAGATAATTCTGCAACTGTAAAGTTTCTGTACTGTTACCAGAAAACAAAGTTGAAACTGCCAACTAAACACAGAAGGGTGAATTAGGCCTTGTGTCAGAAAAACTTTACATCACTAGATTCACCTGAAATATAAACCATTGCAAAAGAACTGACAGCAGAAAATCTACTACCCTCCCACTCCAAGTATAGAAACCGGCTTTCAAAGCAGAAGATAAGAACAACAAAAAAACCCATCACCCTCCACAATGCACAGATGGCCTTGAAAAGTCGTATCTCTGCAAAAGTTCAGAAAAGCGGTTGTACTGAAAGTCTCAACATTTTCTGCTTCACACTGAGGGGAAAAAAAGGCCTAAAAATTATATTTAAAAATGAAAACATTAAAAAAATAAAAACCTTGATAATTTAAATAGCTCCAAATTTACTTCATTTGATCTTTTTCTTTGGCAGAGAAAAGATGTGCATCTGCTAAAGAACAGCATTTCTAGACAGAACTACATTAAAATGACACAGCACAAGATAACAATTCCTGATAAAACTGCAGAACATTACAAGGAGAGCTTACATTCCCTCAGGACAAAACATCACCAGTCCACAAAGTTTGGAGTTAATTTAAAGATTAATTTTAGGATTAGAGTTAATGTAAAGCTTGAGTGTCCATACAATCTTAGCCCTCTTTCCTTTAAGAAAAAAAAAATCCACACACACAAACAATAGAAACCAAAACGATTTAATTTTCAAGACTTTTACTATTATAAAAGCAAACCAAGCACCTAAAGTTTAAACCCCAGGTTTTTATCCCTCCCATCTGGTGGTTCTGTGTTTTCTTGAAAATTTCACTGCACATCACCAACTTCTTTATTATACGATCATTATACACGGTTTTATAGAATGGATTCATTAATAGCTTTTCTGTAAAGCCCAGTAATCAGTTTTTGCACTGTAGTTTGGCAGAAGAATAATTCTTAAATTTACCAGCCACAGGCTATGATGGAGTTAAATTCACTCCAGTGATTTCTGTTAAGTACCTATTCTAATCATACCAAATTAAATTATCTGCTCCCAAAAGTAAGTACATAACGATCATTTATTTAGAACCTCGTTTCTCTCTGTAGGTATCTAATTGTCCACAAAGGCCACATGATTTATGTGTACTTGCCAGAACAGTAATTTTGGGCACCTCTGGTTTAAAAAAACGTGTCAAATTCCTCCTGTGGAATGGGACAGATTAAATGACCCATTAAGCTTAATTTAGCTGAGGCACCACTACAAGTTAATTAGTTAAAGGCAAGATTTTCAGTCTAGGTCATAAATCGGGCCCAGTTTCCCACTGGGACCATTTAAGTTAATGAAGAGAATACACCAGAATGAGAGGAGCTCATACGGTCTGCGAAAGGTCACTGCTGCCAGGGCCACAGATTTGGACGCTTCAGAACTGCAAGGTGTCACAGGTAGAGACAGCACACAAAGGCATCCTTAAAGGAACTACACCACTCTTCAGGCTGCTTTATGCTTCTTCGTATTGGACCAAGAATACAAAGCAAAACTTAAAAAAATTAAATGTAAAAACTTCATATAGCAAGATTTTGGTTTTAAGCAAAACGCGACGGTGTATAAGCGTTCCCCGAAGAATCACTAAAATAGCCTCATGAAAAGCCCAAGTATCTTCAGCACACATGTGAAGACAGGCTGCTCATATTACACCACAATGTCAGTTTCCCAAACAGTTTTCAACCACAGGTTAGGATTAGCAATGTTCTGTTAATTAAACAGTAGTAATGTACAGTCACTAGGAAACTGTTAAACCAAGATTAGCAATCACTCTGGGGCACCGATCTGACGTGACAGCTGAATTTATCCAATGCGTAACTAGCTTGTTATCACAAATAATTGCAAAGACCCAGTATGGTTTCTTTGGGGAAACAGATGCCATCCTCATACAATTAAAGTTCTGTGCGACTTCTTTATTCCTTAGAACACCCTGTTCCACACAGATCACCAGCAAATCTCAAGTCAAAGCACTGATGCATTTAAACTCAGTAACTACTATCCAAGGCAATGTACTGCTTGCAACAATAAAGCAGGTATCCTAATTCGACTGCTGCTATGATCTTCAGGTCTCACATCCTGCTGTAATGCAATCAGTCTACAAAGAACTAATTACCCTAATCGAGCAATCAGAGTTTCACTGACATCTTACTTCCTCTAACAGCTATAAACACCACTGGACTAAGATAGCACCTAATTAGTTTTCTGTATCACTGTTTACAATGCAGTTTGAATTGATTATGTTTGCAACATTCCCTAAATACTTACTTTACAACCAGCAACTACATAGTTATTCAAAACTCCTTGCAGCAGAACAGCATTAATACTTATGGGTGTTAGTTCTGATGACAAAAAGGTCAAAAATCTTCCATTGTTACTGACACTTGTGGTTTGCAGTCTTCGTAAAAGAATGCTGTACAAATCAGTAAGTCTTTCATCTCCATCTCAGGTGCCAAATCTCTTCTCAAACAATAACAGCGGTTTTCAACAATTAGGAATTGTTTTAATTTGTAGCAAGAGAGATTTTGGCTATATATTAAAGAGAATAGAGAGCAAGTAGGTTTCAGTGCTCAGTCAGCTAGAGAGATTGTGGAATCCGTATCACTGAAAGTTTTAAAAACAAGCTAGACAAACCTCTGCTAGAATGACGCCTAACACTGACTCTGAGCAAGCAGGCACATAAATTCCTTTCAAGAATCTTTGCAATCCCCGTTTGCATGTTTTTTCTGATCACAAACACTACCTGCTCCATAGTCCTCAAAGTGGTGATAGATCACCAACTTATTTGCAACTCACTAAACAACCCAAAAGCTTACACTTGTGGATTCAGTGATTACTCCAGAGAGAGCACAATGAACAAAAAGAAAAACAAGAAATGGAATTAATCCACTCTTTGGTTTGTCTGGAATTATTATTTAAATTATGAAATTCTTATTCATTTCTGCTGATCATAGAAGAAAACACAGAAAAAAACCCCACAGGGTATATAAAACAAGTCTATCCAAAAAAACTCATTTTAGACGTATTACAGTTCAACGTCACAATTATTTATACTTGCCTGACTTTTGGCACCATCATTCGGTGTTGCACCATTAGCGTGTGGCAGATTGATGCCATCAAGGTGAAGACCTCTTCACTAGCTGAATCTCTCCAAACCATATTCAGGAGAGTGTTCGTCTGCTGCTTTGTATCCAATTTCTTTAGACACTCCTCAGTTATGTACTGAACTGATATTCTCCCATCACCCTACAAATGTATCAAAGAAAAATTTGCTTTAAGTCTTTTTAATGATCAAGTAACCCCTTCAAAAAAATACTTCAGAATTTTACTAGAACATGAAGTTTTCTTGTGCAATAATTAAAAACTAAGCACACATGTATAATCCAGTAGCATTCTTAAAAGTATCAGACTTAAGAGCCAACTTAAATCCCTAGGTTAGGCAACTGCTGGGTAGTGGTATTGATCTTTTCACTTAGGCCAATGGGAAAGATTCCCTTTAATGTGAGCATGTTCTGCAATGCTTGGATACAGTAAGGCAAGATCGTTCAGTGGCATAAAATATGTGAAGAGTCATCCCTTCCCTGCTGACTTCAGTCAGCATTGGACACGAAATCCAGAAACGAACATCTACCGTAAGCTCCTTTACATACAGTGTTTTCACATTCATAATCCATGGGTTAACAAACAACAAAAAAATCCTCAAGGTGACTAATAGACATGTTTGGGTAGCATCAGAAGTGTACGAAGAGAAACACTTTCTACTGGCATAGAACTGAGTGGAGCTCAACCTTTTCTTTTCCTTACTTCTCCTCTTTGTCTTGCCCCCAACAGAGAAAAGCAGTCTGGCTCACTGAAGGATACAAGTTATCCAACCATGAATTTTTAAGAAAGAGGGGTTACCAGCACCCACCTTCATTTTTTGTTTTGGGTTTTTTGTTTTGTTGGGTTTTTTTTGTAAGACAAACATGCACGAAAATACCACATACATAAAAAACTCACAGCAGAAACATTAAAAGTGTTTTGCAATAAACAGTATCATGTATTCAAGCCTCCTCAAAGCAGATACTCTCTAATTTATAAATTACTGTAAGTCACACGTGAACTGAAATTTATGTTTTGATTTTACCTAACCACCTCTTAAACATCACCAGTATCTACAAGCCACAAGTAGAATCAGTTAATATTTACATCACATACAATGTCTGCATGGATGGCAAATTAAGTATTTTATTCACATCATCTTGGTAAAGACTTCAGGCTAACGGTAACATCCTGCATCTAAAAATGCACAAGTAAAAGGCTGGACGCATTCCCCAGCAGTATGGCTCTTTATAAGAGGTTACTCTCAATATCTAGGTCTTAAAAATGCTGCACCTTTCAGAAATGTGCATCACCTTACACAAAAGGTATGTAGGTATTATAGGAACATTATCTCTTAGAAGAGCTGGCATGCTTTTGCTTTCAACACTCAACCAAGAAAAAGCCAGGAAGCATTAGAATGCCTCAGAGGGACAGAAATCCAGAATTCCCAGCTCTATGTGGAGAGGCAAAATAATCTATCATGAGAAAAAAAAAGAAAATACTAAGTTGGAAGATCAGATTGGTACATTTCATGATATCTTAGCATCATCACGGACTTAAAGAATACAGAGAGTAATACGCGCTCTGTAAAATACAAATTTAAAGCAGAGAAATTTAGTCTTTTTGTTAAACAAAAGCTCTGTTCTTCAGAAGACACACTACCTGTATTTTAAGATTTCTTATTATAGTTGAGGGTTGTTTGTTGATTTTTTGTTTTGTTTTGCTTTTAATATAAGCAACCAGTTCCACTGCCTTACAGTGAGCAGTCATCTATTTTTAAGAAGTAAACATGCTCCCTTCTACATGTAGCTAGAAAAATATTGGACCTAAGGGTGATCATGTTTCTGCCTATATTTACTGCTGCTGTAATACAAATTCATTCGAAAAATTCTGTACTGCTTACTGGTGTAGTTGTCATTTTACTGATCTCTTCATCCTCATCTTCAGAATCACTGTTTGCATCTTGACAATTTGTACCAGCAGTAGACACAGGCAGCTGAGAGAGAAACGTTTGGAGTACCTTCAAATACACAAGAAGTCCTTCCTCTGAAAGGGATCCTACCGCACATACATTGAAATAAAAGATCGTTAGTCAGATCATACTGGAATATATTTTACCAGAAAAATCTGACCAAAACATATTATGCCAAATCTTCACAAATTTAGAGTATTTTTTACTGAAAGGCGTAAGAACAGCTAATAAAACAGATCTTTCCAGTACCTGTATCCACAATCTGTCCTTTTTGCTTGTCAGTGAACTACGTTGTGGAAATACGTAATATATTAACTCAAATATGGAAAAAAAACCCAACCAATGAATCGGCCATTTAGCTTTCTCACCCAAATATGTTTCTCCAACTGTTAACACAAAGTAAAAAAGCCATGGGGCTTCATCACTTCTTCTTGAACATCCACTTTCTGCTAATAATAGTGCATTCAGAAAGAGTTCATAAGGGAAAATGGTCTGCACATCAGCAAGCGCTGGAATGATGAAATGGAATATCTGATCTGTAAAAGGTGCTGCCAGAAACTCCTCTGTGAAGGCTGCAAAAATCTGCTGCCTGAAATGAAGAAAAAATTGCCTTTATAGAAAATATAGGTAAAATTTCCCACAATTATATCCATGGAATAACAGATCAATTAGCAAGTTTGAACACTATCAAGAAGATGCAAAGATATGCTCCATTAATCCTGTGCTAATAAACCAAATTTCTCTGATTTCTGAAAAACTAACGTCTTCAACTACAGCATTTTCCTGATGATCTTACATGTAATTTTCTCCTTTAAACTTTTCATGAACTCACAGAAAACTATTCTGAAGTTGAATTGTTTATAATCTTGAAATGAAAAAAAAATTAAAAGCACAATTAAGGATTTTTTTTCCACTCAAAATACTACTTTAACACAAAATACACTCACATGTGATACAGCCGGAGTTTGACTTTTGTTCCACCTTTCTACTTGACTGTTTCTTCTTGTAAGCTATGACTTAGTTATTTCTTTTCATAAACCTCAGCTCCTTTGTCACAAAGTTCTTTAAAATTCTTTTCATCTGCCCTTAGCTGCACCTATGCTCTCACCTCTTTCCATACCTGTGTTCCTACACACTGTAATACCCGCTGTTCTCTGCTGTTTGTTGTAGCCTTCAGCATTTTATTGCTTTTTTCTTACACACAACTGAAACTTTGTTTCACCTATCTACAGCATTACCAAAAAAATCATTACGATTTCTATACAGATAAAGCAACAAACTGCACCGAAAGAACAGCTGACGCTCAACAATAAACTGCACATCTCTGATAATACAAGTAAGTAAACAATACATAATATTACTTTATTTACCTTGCACCTTCTGGACAGGAGCTATATGTAAAGTGCAATGGCTTCAGAACATTCTCCAGAAGTATTTTTGCAATAGGGACTCGAGAAACATCAGAATACTCAATACTCGAGGGAAGCTTATTGTTAATTAACAAATAAAGCGACTTGTAGTAGCCTGCAAATAAGAAATACCACTTTTTAAATACAGTATTATTTTTAACGTGAGAAAAAACAATACAATTCACTGCACAAAGCTTTACATAGGAAGGCATTTTACAATAATCCAAGTCACATTCACATAACTATCAAGATATACCAGCAACCTGTTTGCAAACTTCACTTTATAAAATCACAGACAAATAACTGCATTCAGAGCCAGTTTGCTTTTCAAAGACCAACTGCTCCTGCTGGTAAAGTGAAGGATTTATTTAAAAAAAAACAAACAATGGCATATGAAAAAGATTTCCTCTTTTCCTCTGAGTGACTCTAGTCACGTTGTTGACAGTTGTCCTTCCAACCTTTCAGAAATTATGAATCTTCCCCTCTACCCCAAAACACGACTGCATCATATGGGTAAGAGTCCTGTTGGCAGAATTCTCTGAAGTCTATAAACATGTTGTTTTAGCAGGCTGAAAAATACAATTCCTGCTCCCAAAACAGGGATTCCTCAGACAGTAATAAAATGCATTACCAGCCAAGCCACAGACATGTGTAAAGAGTGATTATTTTTGTCTCACTCAAGTACAAATGGAATCAGATGATTTCATTCTGAAATCAACTTCCTCTTGCTCAATGAACTCCCGAACTACAACGCAAGTTCTACTACTACAGGAACCACTGTAAATGCATAAACAGCACTGTATTATTGAGAGGTCCAGGCTAGGACCCTTTGCGGCACAGTACGAACTTCACATACAGTGCAGCAAGTGGAAGTTACCATACAGGAATAACTTAGCAATGCTGACAAGACGCACATGGGGGACAAATTATATGCAAAAACATATACTAATTAAGGCTGATTACAGATTCTTTATAACTTAATCATCATAAATGAGTAGGATACAGAATATTTGTAGTTGCACACAACCGCCCATTTTTGTTTTGATTACAAGTGATCAGAAAGCTGATTTTTTTTTTTACTAAAATTTATGATCTAACATCATGATAAACTTTCATATATCAGTTGTGAAGACTATTATACTAAAAGAACAAATCTAAAGTATTTTGAAAGAGATATGTATTATATAGTAGGCAATGAGACAAACACAAATATTTCTATAGTTTTAGTTATGCCTGGCAAGTAAAATAAACCTGCTACAATAAGTCTTTTTTTTTCTCTCATAGTGACTTCAACTTGTAGAAGTTAAAATCGAATCATTAGCAACTTAGAAACACAGAACTATTCTAACAATTAACTCGCAAATTGGAAGGTGCTATTTTTACATTTTATACCAATGAAGCTGGATCTGAGATGTTTATTTTGCAATGTTTTTGTCTTTTCTCCCCATCCACAAATCTTGCAAACTCAAGCCATAGTATCAGAAAGCCAAATTAATTTTTTCACACACTCCCAGAGCAATAGTTTCTTCAAGACAAAACATAATTTTGGGGATAACTACACAACTCAGTATGTTTGCACAGGTGTAACTGACTGCAGCTTAGCAAACAGTTTTGCTGATGCTGGTACAAGGGAAATAAGAGCCAGGTGACCAGCTCTTTGCTAAGGGGTTTCTAAGCATTAGCAGGATGAAAAGGTAACGCAAATTTACAGTAATAATGAACGTTAGCAGTTACAGAGAACAGCACTGCAACACAATGCCCAACTTTTACACAGCTAAAGCTTAGATCTAAAGCATGTGCACATGCATGTGTGTGTGTCTGTGTGTGTGTGTGTGTGTGTGTGTGTCAACAGTTACTGGAATCAAACTTTTATTAGGTAATATCCACCTACTCTCAAAACCTGTGCTAAATGTCTGCATAAGTAACTTGTTAGAATAAACAGAATTTCCAAAGAAATCAAACAGTAATTTCACAAGCAGTGATCTCACTACAAGCAAAATATCCATCTAATGTACAGGTTAGTGTATGCAGCACTTAATTCATTGTGCCTGTGGTAAAGGCAAAAATGTGACTAAACAACATGGTCTTCAGGTATTACACATTCTGTTTAATTTTTGAGTATTTCTCAGAACTTTTACTGTCAAACTACTCACCTTTTTGAATCATGTAGTGCAAAATTTGTTCAATTAATGATGTCACATAGCTGACATCTTGTAAAACAGGCAAATACGTATTCTCAGATGAAAATACCTCAAGCATTCTCATAGGAAGTGCAACATTCAGACTGTCATCATTGCAATTTTGCAATAGCCTATAAATTAAATGACATCAAAATTATTTAACAAGGTAATTCTCTTATTTCACCACAGGCATATGTACACTGATTTAAAAATAAAACTACAAAAAACCTTTCACATTCACCTTAAAAAAAAAAAGCTGCAAACTAGCATTTCTTTGCTATAATATTACCCAGTCACCTTTTTTTTTCCACAGCATCAAAAGCTATGGACAGCTCTTACACTCCTTTTGTTTTCCCACATCACCGAGTCAGGATGGGAGACTGGGAATACCAAGAGCTGCATTTAAAAAACTACAATTTCAACTGTAGTGAAAATGCACAATTCAATCCAGTGACACCACAGCTGCGTTCCACTGTACGTGGACTGCGAAGGCCATCACTCAAGTCTTCTTCAGTATCTGGTGTCACGGTTATTATACATACAGTAAACACAATTATAAGAACACAAGGTTCAGTGACTTGAATGAAACAATTTTCTAAAAAAGCCTCAATATTAAAAGGAAAAAGAAAACTTATTTTAAAGCTCTGGAGTGTATAACTAGTTCTTAATGTTGGTAAGAGCAAATATATTGTTTTCCAAAACCAGGCTTTAGCTGACAACTATTCAAGACACCTTGACAGATCTACCTTCCTGTGATCCCCCAAGGATCCTTCCACTACAAATAATAAATGTATGCTGAAACCAGTAATATAACTGCTTAACATGTCTTAAATTCAAAATAAAGTGTGAGCAAATGCATCTTAAATAATATTAGAGTCAAAGCAATCAAAAATATATCCGTGGAACATTAATCTAACTCAGAAAATACTTTCTAATCAGTATCAGTTCCCAAGACCTTTTGGTTTCAACAAATATTGCTGATGATATCACTACATGCAAACAGTTAAGAAGGGGTATCCCTTAAGCACATATTGAACTTGAAAGTCAATTCTCCCCCTAAAATAAATTTACAGTTATTACTTTACGTTCAAAAACACACAAACAATTGCTCAACATAATTTCTGAACAATTTTTAGTAGCACAGAGAAAAAAAAAACAATTTACCTGCAACACAGCCCCAACAGTCTTTTTATTTGGAATAAGCAAGTAAGTCTGTCTGGACCATCCAATTGCTTAACAAACTGAGAACTCTGTTTAATTAAATTCTGACACATCCATATCTGGGAAAAGATACGCAGAAGTTTACTGTTTGTAACAACAACTTATTGCAACACAGACAGTAACATTTCAATCTTGTTTTGGATACCCTTAGAGGACTTAAAACATACAAACCAAGACAATCCTGTTCAGCTGAGGAAAAAAAAGAAGTTACACAACTTAAACTACATGCCTGCTAGCACTAAACTCAAAGTTAAGACTGATTACACTTACAAATACCTTTACTCTTGCAACAAATTTACTTGTTAATTTTTTCTTTTTGAAAAGCCATAATTCTTTAATGTCCATTATTAATACCCACTATGAATGATACTTACGCATGCATTTGGGAAGTTCGCAGTGACTGTGCAGTTGATACGCCAGCACTATTGACCAGCAAGTAAAAAAAAAAGAACCCAAACACTCTAGGAATGACCAGAGGGCCAGAGTGAAAAATGCTGCTTAAGAAGTAAATCCTGATAGAAGTATATTACTTTTAATAAATTACGGTAAATAATACACACAGCATTTTTCAAGGCTTCATTTAACAGATTTTGTGTGTGTGTACAAATATAAAATCTAATTTTAAGTTATTCTGTCTAAATCAAAAACAGCAGAGTGCAGGCCTGAAAAAGCCAGAATTCTTAAATGAATTTACTGAAGCGGTCAAAGCCTTTTTTGTCTAACTTCAAAGTCTTTTAAGTGAAAGAGTACTTTAAAAGTGTATTAAATTAAAGTACGATGGATCAAAGTATGTTACAGTACTCACCAAACGCTTAGAATCCTCATTCTGTCTATAGAAAAAGAGTAGCTGACGAACTAAGACAGTCAAATTGGCTCCATTAGCAGTAGAAAAAGTTCCTCCAGATTGGGCCAAATTAGCACAGCGATCAAATTCACTTCTTTGGATAGAGTACTTAAAAATAAGACATGCATCAATATATCAATAATGGTTATGATTTAAAATAGAGATGCAAAACTTTAAAACTTGATTTCAGCTTCTCATCCAAAGTGGCAGTAAAGTAGCAAAATGGATATAACACATTTGTTAAGAGATCAAAACATACACACGATATCCTAGCTAAAGCCATAACTGCTTTCTGCAATTCAGAAAGTACACATTGCAAGAAATTTGTTGCTTTTCAAGAATATCACAAACATTTTCATCTAGTTTACTCAATAAATATTAGATAGATTTCTTAGAATAATCTACCCAACAGTAGCTTAGAAGGAACATCTTTTCGACTCAAACTACCTCTTTAACTGTATTGTAAAAAAAACTCCACTGGTGTGTGAAAGCTGCTATTACATAACTGTTTTCATCTGCTTTGTCAGCTCAAAAACATATTGCATAATCCCACTGAAGTCCACTGTCACATACACGCTCTGTGGAGTAAACCCCCATCTACCAAAGTATGGAAGTTCAAATGAAAATGTCAAGAGGGAAAAAGGACTTCCACAATACTCAAAAAAGTGAAGATTCTTCCATGGATTTATTTATTACTAGAAAGTCTCATTTTCAGCAAAATTGTTCTACGTCTTAATTAATAAATAAATAAGTCCTTACTTGATGTTTTCTGTCTCTGTACCCTCTTACAAATGACTGGATTATTATTGCATTTTTCAGCCTCCGCCTTTCTTCCTGTAAAACAAAGTAAGAAAATGGATATCAACATTGTGGACTCTAATTCCTACCATTTTAACAAATATATTTGTATTCAAAATGATTTTTAATGAAAATTAAGCACTAATCATTAGTAAAATAAAGTGTTTGAATGTTTGCATCTGATACACATAAATCAAAAAGTTTTCTATGTTTTTAAGTGTAAATTTACCATTAAGATACTGCAAAAGAAATTTTAATACTCAGTAAGTATGTAATACTATGGATATCAAAATAAACACACTTGTATTTCATTAGTCAAAGTCTTAATACTAAAATGTTGAAGAAAACAAATTCAATTACATCATCCCTCTTTTTGCATAGATCAGCCAACACAGATGATCCACTTATTTGTTTCCATTCAAATAATGTATCAGTGTCAAGAGGTTGCACAGTTTAGATGTGGTTGGGGGGGGGAACAAACACCACCAAATCAGAAAAAAAAAAAAAAAAAATCAATCTGTTATTAGGAGACAACACTGTTGTCAGAGGAAAAAATGCAACTTAATGCTTTAAGCCCCGAAGTACAATATAGAAATTAATATAAATTCTTGCTCTCTCCTTCAAACCAGGCATATAAAGTGAGTCATTTTATGATGTCTTCCTCAGTACCTAGGAGTAGTAGCTAAAATTGTACCTTTACAACAGCTCACTTTCTGAGGAACTGAAAGCCAGCTTCCTCAAGGTACCATGGAAAAAGAGCACTCAAGAGTCCCCTGACAACACCCCCAGCACATCCCATCACAATAATTATCTAAAGGAAGTGGCTGCTGTAATTAAGTTTCTAATAATGTCCATATAGTTTCTTAGCGGATAAAAGAGGGAAGTAAGTAAAATAGCTGCTTATGACCCTAGGGCTACAAAGCAGTAGTTGAGGAAGGCAAAGTAGGAAGATAAACAGTGAAAATAAGAGAAGCCTGCTTTGAGAAGAGAATTTTTAATCTAATCAATTCTTGAACTATAATGAGTCCATAATTCTGAGGGCCACCAAGCAAAACAAAACACCAAAATGTTTTGATAAATTTAATTAAAATACATTTGGGAAAGTTCACAGAAATTTTCAACTTGCAAAAACTTGACTTCTAATTTATTGTGCCATAAAAACACATTCAACTTAAGAACCTAACCTGAACTGACCAGAGAAACACCAGACAAATTTGTTCTCCAATGGCCATTTCATTGTTCTTGGAAACCCTGGTTCCCAAAGCAATTTCTCCGAATAAGCATAGACTTGAAAGACACTAATTACCTCCAGAGTATGGACCAAAATCAAAAGTTTTATGGGCCAAACAGTACTTTTCTCTCCAAAGTATCTAACAGTAAAACTGCAAAGTATGAGGGCAAGCAGGAGTGAGTTTCAATTACAGAGAGGCACTGTCTCTTCATAATCATAATGTCATTCTTGACTGAAAAGCAGATACGTACTTTTCTCTATATACAGGCTTTATCCTAGCATACAAACTTTTAGCAAACGGTAACTGCAAAGGATTTAAGTCACTGCTAAGATTCTGCTACAGGTGTTTTTTTAAAAGCCATAACTGATTTTATTGACAAAGGAGTAATTCATTTTGTGAGAATCTGATACATGCCACAGCAAATCATTGTATGCATGTATGTATATATACAGATACAAATATATGACCCTGCATCAATTTTGCAGCAGACAGAATAATCTGAATTGAATGGGTTATTTTATTACATGGCAAAAAGTTTATGAAGCCCAAGTAAGTCTTTTTGCATACGTTGGTAAGCCTAACTGATCATAAATTTGATTCATAACACAGCACTCTGAACCAACCAGTGAAATCCTAGCAACTTCATGCTTAAACTAGGTCCATAATTACACATCCAAGTTGGAAAGAAATAAAAGTAGTAACTGTCCTCAGAAACAGAGGAGCCACTGCAGAACCTGTATTTAATCTAGCAAGGGTCGAACACATCTCTAAGGGGCAACCAGCTCTGTTTTCTTGATTAGTAAGAAAACTACATAGTTACTCTTCTTAAACAATTTTTAAGACCAAAATTGTTTCAAATCATATCAGAGGGCAGACAGTGAAAAAAAAATTACATATTCACTTTAATTTCATATTACTAAATTTTATTTTCATATTGCCATATATATTCATGTTTTAAAACTGGTGTTTTTCCTTTCAAATGCAAAGGAGGAATACCCCTTTGCATTAGCACAGACTGAAATGGCAGTAAGCTTCCATCTCAAACCAGTGTTAAGATTTTCTAAAGCCTAACACATCAGCCTTCCAACTGCTTCTCCCTGTTCCCCAATTATCAGGTGACTTCAAAGCACTTTAGGATGCACTGAAGTGCCATTGTTCTGATTTTACCTGCACATAACTAAAGCACACACTGGGCAAGTGAATTCATCTAAGAAACCATAGCAGAACCAGGAGCAGAAAGAAGACAGTCTGCTGAGACCAACCTATAGTAATAGATTGTGGACAAGGCAAAAAAACCTGCAATTTACTATCTAAATATCTGTCCTTTCTCAATAAAGACTAGATCTAATGAACATGAAAATAAAAGGAGAAATTCCCTTTGCACCCACTGCATGCTTAACTACCTTCTTTTGAGATGAAAATAACTCCTGAGAAGCATCTTCAAAGCAGTCAAACAGTCTGTCAATTGTAGTATACTGGAAGACTATGTAGAACTTGCAAACTAAAACTACATTCCTGAACTAAGTATGACTGCAGCAGAATAAAGTACTTTGGACTGTAAATGTTACTGTATCAAAGAAAAATCCAGTGTACATGCAAAGGCATATAGTCTACTTTACCTCTCGTTTTCTCCTTTCTTCCTGAGTACGATGCAGGAGAGAAGCCTTTTCTTCCTGTAAAGTACAAATAAAAATATTGTTGCATTTTCATTCAAACATGATTTAAATGTGTTCATGGTATTTAAACTAGACTTCACTTTGGCAGTTGCTTATAATATGTAATAAACAAAACACTGGAGAAAAGTAAGTGTTCATCATTTTCTGCACTTACAAATAACATGTAATGCAGCCTTCTCAAAAGCAGCGATGGAGGGAAACTACGTAAAAAGAGAAGGGACAGGCAAACAGCAGCAAACTATACTGATCCTTGTCCAGGTTTGTGTTCTCAGCATCCCAATAATCCAAGAAAACGCCATTCATTTATAAAAGGGAGAGCTGAAACACAATAGAGTCCCAGTCCTGTCAGGTAGTACCAAATGTTTATGGAGTGTTTTCCTTGCTCAGAGCATACGTAAGCCACTGGCCCAGGTGCGTACAGCAAGTTGTGGCAAGTTCAAAGTCATCCCATACTGTTCCAAAGCCCCATGCTTTTGTCTAACTTGCAAAGAAGCATTAAGCTCTTGTATTTACTTATCCTTTTCCTCAAAACTTGTCCAGAAAATATGTCAAAATATATTTATACTACACAAATGGTAGGAATTTTTTTCTTTCAGAATTTTGAACTCTTCACCCAAATTAAGGCTACAAACTGAAACTTTCAGGACAGTGATCTCTTCAACAAAGAAAAGAATAGTGAAGTATTCATGAGGCCTCTAAAGAAGAATACCATTACAAAAGAAAACCTGTGCATTAGTTTTTTAACAAGAATCTTAAATCTGTACACAGAGATTACAAAATATAAACAAAGCTTTATTTGCAAGAACGTCTTACTGGATGGTTCTGTACAGTTTCCAAGGAAATATACAAAATATTTCCTTTTTGATGCAGAGTATTCAGTTCCCACTGCAGATAATAAGAGTTGAAAGTACTCTGGCACCTTCACAAATCCAGTCTAAAACAGACAACAGATTTAAGGAAACTATTTCCCTTTTTCACTTCTACTACACGTGTAACTACTTCCTTTTTCTCCCTGTGTCCTTATTAGTCTAGAGAAGAAATAAAACACACTCAAGCTAAAAATGTATTAAATCTGAATACATAAAAATAAATTTGAACTTGGTAAACAAATGTTTGTAAAATATTTATCTGCATCTAAAACAACCGTGCTGGAATAGTTTAAATGTCTACATGCAGATACAAAAACTGAGGGCAAAACTCTTTTGCATTTATTTTTCGACAGTAGAGAGGAAGCAAGGTCATGATTCTCATAGTTTCACTAGGATAGAAAATATGCAGATCACAAAGAGAGAATGAAAACAGGAAAATATAGATGCAAAAAAGGAATTTAAAATTGGGTTTGCATTTCAGATCATTCACTGGAGAAAACATAAAGAAAAAAAAATCCCACAAGAAGGTTAACCATCTTTTCCTCAAAAGACAGTATTTATGGCCAAAGACACCACTAACTACAGCTATTGCCCTCTAAAGACAGGGTTTTGTCCATGTGTTAAACACAGTATAAACAAATCATAACAAAATCCACACATAGAACGTATCTGCACTCAAGCAATAGGAAAGGCTCCAGTCTGCTAGAGGCAAGAGATTCTGACCGCACATACACAATAAAAAAGACTAAATAATGTACTAAATTAAGAAATAACCAACAGATGCCTTAAAGTTTTAGGACTGTTTTTAATAGGTTACTTCTTTCTCAACAGCTGGTACCCAACACATTAAAGTAAGTAAAACATTCCTATTTAGAAATGACCAGAGTGACACCTCTTCAATCCACTTGGAGAGTTTCATTCTGCAGGCAGCACCGTGTAGAGTGTTTCTGCTTATAAGCAACATTGCTGAAATTGTCCTTACACTTCAGAATGGATTGAAAGAAAAAGCAAAAGAACATACATAAAAGGGAAGACAAATTGCTACACATAAGCAGAGAAGAGAATGGTACAAAAAGTACAAACACAGTAAATTCAAGGGATTAATAAATAAAGAAAAATAAGCAGTCAAAGATCTTGTCAGAAACAAATAATTTTAAGTACTGGGGGCGAGGGAGGGATATATAAGAGGGCACTGTATCCTCAGTGTATCACCAGCTGTGCCTTGATCAGGAATTGGGTCTTTCTGAAGCAAGCACTCTTTAAACCAATCCACTTTAGGGGAAAAAAAAAAAAATCACAAAACTTTAGGGTTCCAGTCAATGTGACATACTTGCTTTTAGTATCTGTAAAGAAAAACACCAACTAGTTTAAGTATAAATTAAATATGATAGAGGAACTGTCTTAAGACAAAGAATTAAATATTCAAGTAAGTACATCCCACCCATCTTCAAAAAGTTATGATGAGTCATGTAGTACTGCTGTTCACAAGATATGCACAGATCAGAAACATAAAGGAATGGAATCATAACTATGACTAAAGAATATATTAAAATTGAATGCAAGAAAAAAAATCTCCTTCAGAGTTATTCTTAAAGACAGCTAACTGCACAGTCATCTCCAAAATCCGCTCTGCCTTGCCTCTTAATAAAAAAAACACAGTGAAAAGAGCTGTTGCTCTGAGGCTGGCTGTGCATGAAAACATCGTTATGGTAAGAGATGTACATTTGACAACTTCCATGTGTATGCTCACACGACTGTTGACAGCTACAGCCGCTGCTCCATCACCTCTTCCTGCCCACCTACAGCTAAAACTACTCACAGGACGAGATCATCTCACACTAACTTCCAAAGATCGCACCTAGCTCGTTCCTACTCCCCAGTTTCCTAGTCTCACATCTGTGATGGTCATACTATCTTCCTTCTTTACCTGTTAGGCAGGCAGATGTCAGATATCAAGTCTACCTACCAAGTTAGGCAGACAATGTAGAGGGAATGAAGCATCAGCTTGTCTTGATTTCTTCAACCCTAACTCAGAAGAAGAAAAAAAGCCATTTACTGAATCAAACTCCCTACACTTTCTATGATGGAAAGTCTTCTTCCTTCAGGAGCTTGACCCTCAGTGCAGAACAGGGAATAGACTGGCTGTGTGTTTCATGCAGTGTTTTATATACTATTTATTAGCAGTCCCTTTCCTGTCTGCTCCTTCCTCCAACAGAAGATAATGGTAAAGACAATGCAGCTCAGGCTCTAGCATGCAAGCTGCAGGACCATGAAAAGCCTGATCTGATAAGTTTTCTTCACTAAATATGTGAGGCAAAACACAAAGAAACAAGAAAGCAAAGAAACACTATGCGAGAGCAAAACACAATGTAACAAGGATGGTGACTCAAAGTAAGACAGAAGGTGGAAAGAGGTGAAAACAAGGAAGCAGATGGAGGACAGTATAGAGAAACAAATGCTTACAACTACCATCAAAGAAATGTTAAATAATATTTTAAATGTTAATTTATACATCAGGATAAAACTGCTATGTACTGCATTATTCATCATAGCAAAGTTCAAAGTCACACCACTGCCGTAACAGACCAGATTATGAGAAGAGCCACATCCGGCAGTGTAACGATGTCAATGTCAGTGCTTCAAAAACTCCAATCCAAAGTTAAAACCGCTTTCTTGTCCTCATTTTGCTGAAATAGACTATTTTGCTGCAAAAGTATGCTTACAGAACTCCTAGCCTCCACAAATCCTAGGTAAAAACTGAATTACATAAACAAATATACAAATTACAATTCTTTTAGTCCTGCATTTTGACACCTTTCATTGAGAGCGTTAATAAACATTCAGCCCTCTTGGCTCAAGAGAAAACATGTATACATTATTAATTTTTTTTCAAATACTCCTAGTATTTGTTAATTCTCTTAAAATCTGAAATCGAACACTCCTGGACAGTCATGTTAATCAAGCCAACTTACCTCCACATAAGTAAATTTAAAACCTAAGTATGCTAAATGCAAAGGTGAAACCGAGTAATTATTTTCCGGTACTGCCTAAACAATGACCATATTTTTAAAAATAACAAAAATACACTGACATGGAAATTTAAATATTATCAATAAATGTTTGAAATGTATTTATAAACAACAGGGGTTTATTTTCTTGTAGTTGAGAACTCTATTCTATTTAACATTATCATGCAAAATACAAGGCATGACTACTAGGAAATTTGAATGGAAAAAGAAATACATACTTCATCTTTTAACTTTTGAGGACAATTATACAATCTTGTACGGTTTTCATCTACAAAACCCAGGAACTTCTATCTTTTTTCTCTCCTTAAAATAAGGAACATGACTTTTCAGCTGGATTTAGCTTGCACCACATAAACATCAGTAACAACTCCCAAAACAAACAACGTGACCTAAGCAATTTATAGAATAAAATTCCTTTCAACACAAGTATGTAATAAGTCCAAGAAATAAACGGAAGATTTTGCAGCATTTATTTGCAGCGAAATGTGGACACTGTGACATGACCCCCTCCAAAGTGGTTCTCAAAAATGTTTCTAGTTCACATTATTTTAGACAAGATAAATTCCACCTCAACTGATTTTTTTTTTAGTATTAAAAGAAAATAGCATTTTAAAAGACTCACAATGCCTTGAACTGAACCTCGACAATTTAAATTCCATTGGAGACACAGCTCAGCCAGCCTGAGTAAACCATGTTCAGCAGCTTGAAAAAATCTGCTTTAATACAGTTTGTGAGTCTTCATATCTCTGATTATTTACATCATGTTTACATGTAGAGAAGATGATCTTCCAGAAGAAGGCATTTTAAAGTACTTAAAATAGGCCCAGGAAGTGGCATTTGGTCAGGGAAAGCCTGGCCTTGTGGAAATCAATGTCACAGTGCTTGCAAGAAAACATTTCAGTATTTTAGCTCAAGTTTTACCTTAGGATGTAGAATATTTGGAACCACCTCTACCTTGGTAGCTAACAAAGCCATGCACAGTGGAACCAGGACTTGACTGGAGGCTCTAGAGGCCAAAGAACATGCAAACAAGTTGCTTTTACATTTACTCTCAGTTTGTCTGTATTAGGATTTTTAAGATGCATATTGTACATATCATTGTAGTTGAGCGACTTCTCATTTTCTCAGAAAAAGCAGGGGAAAAAATAGCTATAAAAGCAGAAAAAATTTGTTTTGAATTCAAGAAAGTAGCACACAACTGAAAATAACAGCGTAATCAGTGTTGTCAGCTAACTACAACTCCATCAGTCATAGCTTCCTTCAAAGGAAGAGAATTTTAAATGTCACCAAGAGGGAAAAAATCCCCAAGAATCCAGTATGCATTAATTATACAGTATCCTACTGACAGCCATTATTTTACAACATGATGGTATCACCATATTTCCACACCACAGATCTGAAATTCAAAGAGCATTTCAAGACTTAGGCTCTGACATTTCAACGTTTTGGACACAGAACACAGTTCTGACTCAGAATGAGGGAAGTACTCGCATAAGAATCTACACCATGTGCCTTATGGGACAAAGGTCTATGGAGCAAAGTAGCGCAATTCTCTCCCACCATTTAAAAATAAATTGTAAATTTGAAACTGTCATCTAGAAATCCTGTACTATAAATTCCTAGCAATATTTCACTTTCATTGTGACCTGGTGTAGATTCAAATATATAATAAAACAGTAATTCTTCCCTCCTGAAATTATTAACAGCTTTCCTCAATCAATAAGAGAGAAACAAATCTATTTCTTAAATCTGTGCCATCATTGCTTAAATCCTACAGATGTCTACCACCACAGGCAAACCCAGCCTGTGCAGATCTCTCCATACACTGGCAATCTTACAGCCTACTGGTTTTCAATCATTAATTTTCATTCCATGAGAAGTTACTTCATGCAAAGAATACAGACAACAAAGAGCAAACAAGGTACTTCTGGAGTTCTACCTCTCCACTTCAGCCGAAAGCTGGGGGAAAAATACACAGGATTCTAATGCTTAATGTCATGCTATTAATTTAAGGAAACGTATCCATAACTACTGAAACAAAATATAAACAAACTTTGTAAATTTAAGATCTTTGATTATTAAAAATATCCACATTAAAAGAAATTAAAGACACCTTCTGAAATACAGACGGAGTCATCACTATTAGTTCATTAGTAATTTCCCATGTCTTATACAAAATCAAAATAAAATCCAAAAAGAAAGTCAATGAAGTTCATTTCACTTTCACTTTCACCTCAGTGCTAACACCTCTGTATTACGAATACTCGAGAGGGAAAAGAACACTGGGCCTGACCTTAGCAAATGAAGCAGACGTGGTTAAACACATTCTGCATTATGACACCAAGAGTCCAACTTCATGATAAAATTAGTGAAAGCTGCCAGCAGCCACCAGCAGGCAAGGGACATTCCACCCTGAAGAAATATGTTCACTACACGGGACACAAAGCACGAGGCAGGAACCACCCAGGTGAAGGACCATCTGTTTCAGGCCACCAGACAGCTTCGATAGCCAGCTCCATTTGCACTGCACCCCAAACCAACTCTTCATGCACACCTCTTTTTTCCTGCCTCACACACCACAGAAATTCTGCAGCCACAGTCTTCTAAGCAGCAAGTACTGTCCTGTACAAGAAGTCAATGTGTAACTCAAGATGTTCCTGTACTGAACTCCAATAACAGTATTCCTTTTCAGAGGCTATTTTACTTCAGAAGTAAAAAAATGTTTTGCCAGTTATAATTAAAACTAAATCTGAAGACAATTTTTGAAGAACCTCATAAAACAGTGAATCGTGTTTTCAAGATAACAATAAGCACTCCCCAAAATTAAAAAAAAACCCTAAACTTATCACATTGTAAATAAAACAGTATCTATACCCTCAAACACAGATACAACTAATACAAATAGTTAAAATAAATCAGCAGATTTTTGAAAGTAGATATGGAGGGAAAAGTCCAAACACCGTCAATACCACCTACACCACTTATGTACAATGCAATATTAAAATGTTATAATAATATTCTGAAAGGATCAGGGACAGAGATAGTCATTTCGAGAACATTAATTTTGCAACCCAGGATTTTAACAGAAATAAGATATACTTAAAGACTACTTTTTTTGGCAAAAGGTTTGGTTGAAGAGCCTCTCTACAGCATCCACCACAATGCACATGAACCTAAGATGCAAACAGTGTAAAAACAAGCCTAAAGCGCTCTGTTTTTGTATTTTAAAAATACCATAAAAGTTAGTGGTGGAAAGCACACTAGATTCAGTACCTTCCTAACTGCCATAATGCCACAAGTCCTCAATCGTATTTGTATCGCTGTGCCTGCACTGACAGGACCCCTTGTGAGGCCTAAGGAAACCCTACAGACACATGGCCATGCCCAATGGGGTGTCAACACGTGCCTCATGACCAACACGGTTACTGTGGGCAGCTGCAGTTATATTGGCAAAATAATTCTTTTAACAATCAGGTTTGCTGACAGTTTATTTTGGTGTAGTTGTTTCCAGATCAGAAGACTCTGCTAGCATCTTTAGCTCCTCCAACTGGACTCCCTGCTTCCATACTGGGAGGGTTTTGCTAATATAGCTATTCAGGTGCAACAATATTTGGAAACTTCCTCAAATTGGGTAGAGAGTTACTGGCAGTATTAAGCAGCCTGCATACAGATTCTGCCAGTATTTCTGAGTTGTGCATTAAGCCACCAAAGGAATCAAAACAGGCAGTATGAAGCATCCAGCTAACAGAGCGTTGCAGAGGTGCAGCACAGGAACTCTACACTGTATCTTTCTAAAATTACACACACTGGGGAGGGTGAGGCGGTCTGTCAAAGAATAACTTTTTTTTCCCACGTGCACAAAAAGTTGAAACATTTTACAATTAAGCCTTCTGTAAAACTGAAGCCTACAGGTAAGAGAAATATGATGACAAGCAATCTGTGACGTGAGGTAACAAGAAGCCAAATGAACCCATGTGAACACTTGTCACACCAATCTCTGCTGTAGTATGTTTACGTAAAAGTTCAGGTAAACCGCGTTTTTCAAAGTAAGTCTTAGTGTTGTTTAAATGCAGTCTTTAATATGTACTGTACACAGTTTCTAAAAATCAGCAGCTATTTCAAGGGCATTCTATGACATCCATATAACCATGATGTCCAAAGCTGTGACTAAATGATTTGCATTGATGCAGCACAAGCACTTCAGTGTACCAGTATTAAAACCTGAAATCTGTAGACCACTTGGTATCTGATCATGAACTACAACCTCTATATTGGACAGAGTGAAAGTTACACATCAATTTCAGTTTCCACTTCCTCTACCTATCCATATTTGCCCTTGGAATTTGACACCAATAACAGACTTGTCCCATACAATTAAAATAGGTATATAAGACAATATTATGACAGTTGTTTACTTCTGTAGAAAGAAACATGTTCTGCAAGTAACTCTATTAGCAAGTCAGTGCCAAAAGTTGCAAAGTACCTAAAGTGTACAGCTGAGGACCAGGGTATGTTTTGCCAATTCCCACTTTAACTGTGCAACATTTATTGTGTTTTTGACTTGTGTAATGCTATTGTATGTAGTCTCAGAAACAGAAGTGTCTTCAGATAAACACAGGATGATTCAGATGCAAAGCTGCACAATTTAAATGTTATTCTGTTACTCATTGTTTAAAAAATTATGTAAGGGAATAGGTGAAAATTAAAACTTTGGTGTGATTTTAATATCACATAGTGCAGTATTTTAGCTGTTTCCTAACAGAACTGCCAAGTCCTAAAAGTGTCAGAGAACAAAACTAACTTAAGACATATTTTTGCCCTCGTTAAGATTCAAAAATACCAACAAAAACATTCAATACCTTCCCACGCAATCATGTCCAATGACAACACGAGGAATCAGTATTTTAGCAGTGAATTAAAATGACTCCTACAAATCAGGCCACTTGTATAAACACTTTGTCCTTTCTCTTGTTCTTCGGTAGCTCTGTGCCCTTCAGTGCTCGACTACACATCTGACCACCCTGTCCAATCAGCAAGACCTAAACAAACCATTTCGCTTCTTTTCCATCAATAAATACAAGGAGATTCAATAGTCTGGCAGAGCAGACAATTAACTGCTACTCACCCTGCACACGACAAATTGACTGAACGTAAACTTGACAGAGAAAAGCTAAACCTGTGACCTGGCAACCTTCACTCACGTGGATGAAGCCTTCCCCGAGCAATTCGCATTGATCTCGGGTCGTGTAAGGCTGCTCCCCCCTATCCCTCCAGCAAGGCGGACCAAAGGCTCTTCCCTTTGGGGAGAAATGACAAGAGATCTCCGCGCCCTTCCCTCCTTCCCCCCGGGAGACCTAGAGACAAACAGCTCGGGAAGTGCTCCCAGCCACAACAAACCGGATCGCTTGCAGGGGGGACGAGCTAAGGAGACATTTCCTCGCTTCCCACAATTCTTACTACGCTACAAGCCTGTGAGGGTATGTATGACCCGATTAAAAAAATAATAATAATCATAAAAAACCCTAATCATACACACACACACAAACACAGAAAAAACCTCACCACAACACCACAGAGCCAGGAAAATCAGGAGATAAACACATCATCAGGAGGGGAGGATTTTTTCCTCCCTCTATTAAACCTTAGTCATAGTTGCTCCCATTTTTGAAGGCCCAATGGTGAAAATACGATAATACAAGCGGCCAAGGCAGGCGGGGGGGGGGGGAAAACCGACACAGACACAAAACACTGAGACAGACAGGCGCCGTTTCTTACCTTCCTACTCGCTCCTCCGAGAGACACCTTGGGCCTTGTTTTGAAATCCCCTTCAAAGCTAAACATGTTTACAGCTTATCCCATCTAGAGCGGAGTCCGGCCCCCCGAGCTGACC